GAACCATCCCCAGCAGTGACAACCCAGAGTAGTTCAGGCTGGGATGTGGGAGCCCAGAGGGGCCTCCAGATCCAGCCTGGGGGTCCAAGAGGGCTTCCTGGGGAAGGGGTCAGCTGTGCTGGAGAACACATTAAGATGATAAACAAGAGGGTGCCTGGGTGGCTCAGTTGGTTAAGCGACTGCCTTCGGCTCAGGTCATGATCCTGGAGTCCCGGGATCGAGTCCTGCATCGGGCTCCCTGCTCAGCGGGGAGTCTGCTTCTCCCTCTGACCCTCCTCCCTCTCGTGCTCTCTCTCATTCTCTCTCTCGCAAAAAAAAAAAAAAGATGATAAACAAGAGCAACCATGTCCCTAGAAGGTATTATTTATGCTAAAGGGTTTTAATGCATCATTTCTGTTTATTAACCCAAACCCTGGAAAGTGGATGCTATTATTAGGTCCATTTTATTTATTTATTTATTTATTTATTTAAAGATTTTATTTATTTATTTTGAGAGAGAGAGAATGAGAGAGAACACATGAGAGGGGATAGGGTCAGAGGGCAAAGCAGACTCCCTGCCGAGCAGGGAGCCCGATGCGGGACTCGATCCCGGGACTCCAGGATCATGACCTGAGCCGAAGGCAGTCGCTTAACCAACTGAGCCACCCAGGCGCCCCTATTAGGTCCATTTTAGAAATGAGGAAGTTGGGGCGCCTGGGTGGCTCAGTCAGTTAAGTGTTCAATCCTTGATTTTGGCTCAGGTCATAATCTCAGGGTCGTGGGATCAAGCCCTGCGTCTGGGGCTCTGAGCTCAGCGGGGAGTTTGCTTCAGATTCTCTCCCTCTCCCTCTGCCCCTCCCTGTCCCGAGCTCGCGCTCCTCTCTCTCTCTCTCTCAAATAAATAAATACATCTTTAAAAGAAAATAGAAATGAGGAAATTGAATTCTCACTATCCTGGGCCCTGCCTCCATGGAACTTACAGCTTAGGAGGCTCAGGAACACCAGAGGAGAGATTGTTCAGCATGGGGCACCAGGAAGGCTTCCAGGAGGAGGCACCGGCTCAGTCGTGAACTGAAGTGTGAGTAGCCATTGCCAGGTGGAGAACAGAGGAAACGTGTCCCGGTCTGAAGGTGAGCAAACACATATATTTAGAGGGATGGCAAGGGCTTTGGTCTGGCTGACTTGTAAAGTGGAAGAAGAAGTGACATCATGCTGTCATCAGGGGCCAGGTCATGTGGGAGCTACAATCCAGACCTTGTCCTTCGTACAACAGAGAGATGCCTCTCAGAGGGTATGGCTCTGATCAGTCACCAGTGGTAGAAGTAGGCTGGGAAGGGCAGGTTTCATATCCTACCTTGGGCTGTGAGAGGCCTGCGGGATTTGGAAGGGAAGAAAGAGGGAACCCCCTTGCGGAGAGGTACCACTACACCCCTGCACCTCAGTGGACGTGGGGGTGGGAGCTGGCCGGAGATGACAGAGAGGAAATGCCCACTCTGGTGGCCAGCCTGTTGTTGGGGAAGGACAGGCAGGGTGGTGGCGGTTTGGAGGTTTCTTTCCATCTTTTTTCCTTCCTAACCTCAGAGTGTAGAAGATGAAAAGTCTGCCCCGGGACACCAAGAATAGTTTCTGCCGTTTGTGGAACACCTGAACAAATTTACTTGTTTAACCATATAACTTACTTTCAAATAACTTATTTAACCATCACCACGTGGTTTTTAGATTCCCCTGTTTTACGGATGAGAAGAAAGGAGGCAAGAGAAATGATCCGGGTTGTTGAGGATCACCAGCTACTCCTAATTGGTGAAACCAGAATTTGAAGCAAAAGAGTCACACTCCGGACCCCCACTGCCTCCCCTCCCTTCCCTCTCCATGCTCTCTTTCCCTTCCCCAACTCCTCCCCTCTCCCCTCCCTCTTCTCTCCCCTGCCCACTCTTTCTGCCCCCCTCCCTCCCTCTCCCCCCCTACCCAGCCTCCAGTTCCTAGATCAGACCCTTGGGACAAAGCTTCGCATCTGAAATTGTAGAGGCTCCAGTTTACTGCCTTGAGGGTCTCCAGGGAGTAAGCACTGCACCGCAACCCTCTACCTTGCTGGCAAGAGCACTGGCTAACAATTTGGCAATATCCTCCCAAACCACAAATGTGCATGCCCTTGGACCCAGCCAATCAGCTTCTAGGAATGCGTGGAACTGATTCCGTCCCACAGTCCCACACCGGGCAAATGGCGTGGACGTGGTTACTCGGGGAGCCACCCTCTGCGCAGGCAAAGCATTGGAAATACCCAAAAGGCCCATGCACTGAGGATAGGTTCAAAACTGATGGTGTGTTCATGCACAGGAACACTTTGACTAAAGGAGAGTGGTCTCAAGGAGATCCCAGACCGCCCCCAGGGCTCAGAGGTGGGGAGGGGTTCCAGGAGGGGCTGTCTAGGGAATGGTAGAACATCTTGCCTCAACCCACCCATTCCAACTGGCAACAATCTCCCCCCATCATGCCCTCACTGAGGTTCATCGAGACCTGAAAGAAGACATTTACCTGAATTCAGCGATTTTGATAGCATGGTGCTTTTGGCCTTCCCAAGTATTTATTGACCCAACTTTTTGGGGGTGGGGGCAAGGGAAGGCTAGGAATACTAGCCACCGAAGGCCCTCCCCCTCCCACTGACCCTCCACTCATCCTAGCCCCATCCCTGAGACCCTCCCTTTTCTTGACCCTATCTCTTCCTGCATCCTTAACCTTCACCCCATCCCTGACCCCGGGCTCTGCCTTGACCCCACTTTTGAGCTTCTGAGGGCCTGTATCATTCCCTTTACATGACTTTGTTTAAGACCAGGGCTCTGATGGCTTGTTTTCAGACCGAGGCTCCGTTCCTGTCAAAGAGGAGTCAGATGTCCAGTGGAGAAGGGTATGGGATGAGTATGGGAAGTATGGTGGGCCCCAAATCTGAAGCTCAAACATCAGTGGAGGAGGGGGCAGCCTCTGACCATCCAGAGCTCTGAGAGGAGGCTCCCCATGTGCAGTAGCTGGGGAGCCCTGGAGGAGGGGGAACCCCAGAGAGAGACAGCATGGTCCAGAGGAGGAACAGAGCAGGGGCCACAGGTTCCAGATTCAGAGAGAACTCAGCACACCAGAACGAGAGTGCCAGAAAATTCAGAGATTTCCCAGAGACTACTGTCTATGTTTCCATTCAGAAATTCACCTACATCCAGGGCGAGAGACACCAGGCATCAGAACCACCCTCCCACAGCCATGCGCCATGAGTGGGCACCAGCTCCAAGTCAGAGACATCAGCGGGAGACAAAACCCTCCAAACTGACCAAAGCCTAAAAGGGGAACTGTCCAGAAAGATAGAGGGATGTCACAGAACAAGGGTCAGAGCTGCTAGGGGGTACTGGTGGGGACCATAGCCAGGATGGGCACAGCTGGGGAGCAGGCAGTCTCCCAAGCTCTGTGTCTGAGTACTTGGCGCTCTGGGTCTCTCTGTCACCTCTCAATTCTCTCACATCTCACTCTCTCTATGCTTGTCTTCCTCTCCTCTCTTGGTCCCTCATATGCATCTCTTTCTTTGTATCTGTTTCTCTCTCTCCCTACCTCCCAATCACTGCCTCTGAGTGTCTCTATTTCCCTCTCTCTCTCTCTCTCCCTCCATCTCTCTCTCATCCTTCTCTCTGTTGTATGTGGCTCTAGGACCATCATCATCACCAGACAGGATGGTGTTCTCTGCATTAATCTGTTAACATCTGTTTCCCTCCAGTAGAAAGTGGGCTTCACAGAGGCAGAGATTTTTGTCTGTGTTATTTTCTGCTGCCTTCCCTGTGCCGGGAATAGTGCCTGGTTCAATAAATTTATGTTGAATGGAGAATGGGTGAATCATCATTCTCACCAACATTATTATTCAGTGATAATCTGTAAAAACATTGATACTAGTTGTTATTGTTACAGCTACTGTCTATTGAGTACAAACTGTAATACCTGGAATTGGGCGAAGCAGTTACTTGCTTAAGCCTTACAAACCCTCCCGTGAGGAGAGTACTGTTATCATGTCCATTTCTCCGAGGAGGAAAGCGAGGGGAAGCAGTTTGCCCAGTATGAGCCCAGGCCTTGTCTGCCTTCAGAGTCCAGAGGGTTTAGGCCTGTTGGTTAAGAACTCGGGATCTGCAGATGCCTGGGTGGCCCAGTCAGTTAGGCGCCTGTCCTCGGCTCAGGTCATGATCCCAGGGTCCTGGGATGCAGTCCCACATGGGGCTCCCTGCTCAGCGGGAAGCCTGCTTCTCCCTCTTCCTGCAGCTCCCCCTATTGTGCTCTCTCTCGCTCTGACAAACAAATAAATTAAGTTAAAAAAAAAAAAAAAAGAACTCTGGGATCTGTCCTGATTGTAGGTTGGAATGTCAGCTGTGGCACTTAGCCGCCTTGACCTTTAAAAAGTGAAGTCAGGGGCGCCTGGGTGGCTCAGATGGTTAAGCGTCTGCCTTCGGCTCAGGTCATGATCCCAGTGTCCTGGGATCGAGTCCCGCATCGGGCTCCCTGCTCCTTGGGAGCCTGCTTCTCCCTCTGCCTCTCTCTCTCTCTCATGAGTAAATAAATAAAATCTTAAAAAAAAATAAATAAAATAAAAAGTGAAGTCAGTCAGAGAAAGACAAACACCAAATTATTTCACTTAGGTGGAATTTAAGAAACAGAACGCCCGTAGCGGGGAGGGAAGCGACAGGCTCTTAAATACAGAGAAGGAACCGGGGGCTGTCAGAGGGGAGGTGGGTGGAGGGGGGATGGGGAAAACAGGTGAGGGGGCTTAAGAGTACACTTGTCGCGGTGAGCACCAAGAAATGTCGAGAAGTGTTGAATCCCTACACTGTACACCTGAAATTAATACAACACTCTGTGTTTCTTTATACGTCACGGAGAAAGAAGAAAGCCCCCGCCCAGTCCGCGGTAGCCTGGGCGGGTCTCTCCGGCGGCGGCGGCGCGCAGGCGCGGAGGCGGCCCCGCCCCCGCCCCGCCCACTCGCCCCGCCCCGCCCCCTGCCCCGTCCGGCCGGGTCTGGCGGTGAAAATCGGGGAACTTCCCACGCGCCTGTTCGCTACCGCGGCTGGGGTGCTGCGGGTTCTAGGCTGCCGCTCCCAGGAGGCGGCGGCGGCGGCCGAGGGAGAACGAGCCCAGCAGACCAGGGAGGAGGCTCGCCGGGAGCGGCGACCCAGCCGCCGGAGGAACCGAGCATGGCGTGGCCGCCGCTGCTGTGGCTGATTCTGCTGTCGCTGCCCTGGGTGCCCGCGGAAGCCGGTGAGTGACCCCCCCCCCCCCCGCCCCGCGGCACGGCGGCCGCTGCTCCCCCTCTCCCTCCGCACTGGCGGGATGGTCGGCCTCCCCCGGGGCTGGAGGAACGAACGGGGCGGGGGCTCAGCCTCCCAGAAAGCTGCCGGAGTTCCTTACAGTAGAGCCATCAGTCTAGGAAAGTCCTAGCCCACAGCGGAGAATGAATGACTCATGCCCAGACACCTCACCTCCCGCTCCTGCTCGCCTTGGCCAGACCCCAACAGGCTGTGCCCGCTGACCTCGTCGGAGAATGCTTTAAGGGGCTGAGTCAAGAGGGCGGGGCACACAACCCGTTCCCCCTTCTGACCCCAAATGTATGGTTCTAAGAGCATGGCCATTCATTCCTTCCTGCATGCATGCGTTCATCCCACACTCGTTTACTGAGCGCTTACTGTGTGTCGGGCAGTGTTCCAGGCCCTGGGGATACAGCTCTGAAGTCAGACGGCCCTGGTTTCAAGTGGGCTTTTGGCATTTAATACCTGTGTGAGCTCGGGAGAGCTTCCTAAGCTCTCTGTGTCCCTAAAATGTGTTGGGGATGGTGGGGGGAGGTGGGGTGGAGATTCTACCTACCTTGTAAGACTGTGTCTTGGGAGGATGCTGAGCAAAGTCGGATGCACTCAGTAAGAACAATAATGATAATGATAATTCATATGAACATTATTAATACTGAATGCAGACTTGGGGAAGCCACAGTCGCTCATCTCATCGTTTCACAAAAGGTGATTCCAAGAACACCAAGCACTTCTCCAGAAAAGAGGGGCCTGAGGCTTGAGGAGTTCACGGAGGGCCACCAACTCAAACCTCTCAAGGAGATTCCCAGTATGAGTCCCACTGTAACCTCCGTTTACAGATGAGGAGACTGAGGCACAGAGAAGGGAAGCGACTTGCCCAAGGCACCAGCAAGAAGTAGCAGGTCCAGTGAGTGAACCAAAATAGTGGACAGAGCCCCCTCTACCAGGACAGGAGAGCCTGGTGCCCAGGAGCCAGGGCGCAGGGTAGACCTAGGCAAGTGGCTTGACCCTCAGAGGTGCGCTTGACCTCTCTGTCCAGTGGGGATGAAAATATGAGTGCACATCTCATGGGGCCGTGGAGAGGGTTGCAGGAGGCCACTTGTAAGGAAGCAGCTCAGTGTCTGGCACAGAGAAGGACCTGAGTGTGGCCGTTAAACTTCACCCAATGTTATCTTCATGGCAACCTTGCCAGGGAGGAGACCTGCCATCTGGTGGATGAAAGCACCAGAGAAGGAGCCCCACATGCCTAGGGCCACGCAGCACATCAGTGGCAGAGTGAGCATTCAGACCCACGCTAGCATGCTCACCACTCCCCGATTGCCTGTGTCCAAACCCTGCCTCCTCCACACAGCACGCTCCTAGCACCCCTGCCCGTTACCTCCCAGCTTCCTCTTCCGCATAACACAATAATATTCACCTTGACAGAGTCATTGGCACACGCTAATCCTCTACGTAGATTTCATTGCCTGGTCCACCCAGCAACCCTATTATGCTGTAACCACCCGCAGTTTACAGATGGCAAAGCTGAGACTCAGGGGAGTGAAACCACCTACACCCAGACTCAAGCTGCTGAGTAGCAGTACCGGGGTTCAAAGAACTTACCTCCTTCCCACCTTCTCCACTATCTTTATTATTAATAATAAGAATGGATAGCATTGTGTTTATTTATAGCAGTAAGAGCCAGGACATATTGAGGACCTACTATGTGCTGAGGCCTGAGGCTGAAAGATTTTAATATGGAGCCTGGTGGGTTAGAGGTCAGGACTCCTGAGTGCAGACCGCAGGGTTCAAATCCCTCTTCTGCCATTTACCCTCTCTGTGACCTGGAGCAAACAACCGGCAAACAACCCTCCGCCTTGGTCTCCCCATCTATAAAGTGGAGCTGATGGTAGTACTTGCTTCAAGGAGCTGTTTAAGGACTAAATGCTGGGAAATGTGTGAAGCACTCAGAACAGCCTGTGTTAACTGTTATCAGTCCCGCGTTACAAACTAGGAAAAAGAATCGGAGAGGTTAAGTAACCTGCCTGAAGCCTCACAGCAGAGGTCGGAAGGGATCCAAAATCCTTGAGTTATAATCGCCTCGCTTCTTGTGCCAGGATCCCCTACAAACCTTCTCCCAATCAGGGTCCATGCATCATCATCATCATCATACCATAGTTCATGGATCCTAAGGCTTAGAATTTCTGCCCCTTTTCCCACCCCTCAGTCGGAGGTGCTCTAACAGTGGTATTGGTGACACTGGGCTGATGAAAACGTTCTGGAACTAGATAGTGGTGATACTTACATACACAACGTAATGCCACGGAACTGTGCACTTTGAAATGGTTTAAATGGCAGATTCAAGTTTTTCACCACAGTATTGCCCACAATTTAAAGCAGCAATGGGGAAATACGGTAATCACAGCGCAGCCAAGCTGCGCGGACGCGGACGGGTAGCAGCAGCCCCGGTCCAGCCCCGGAAGGGCCTCCCGGGCGCCCCTCGGCGCCCCTCGGCATCCAGACCCGCGGACGCCCGGGTCTGACCCGCCCCGCGTTTCCCCGCAGGGCCCGGCACGGTCGGCGTGGTGGCACCGGCGCAGATGCGCGGCCTCCTGGGCGACACGGTCGAGCTGCCCTGCAAACTGCAGCCGCTGGAGCACGAGGTGCGCGTGACGCAGGTGACGTGGACACGGCGGGATGCGGCGGGGGACGACCTCAACGTGGCGGTCTTCCACCCCACACAGGGCCCCAGCTTCCCCGAGCCCGGCCGGTTGGAGTTTGTGGCCGCCAGGCCGGGCAAGGAGCTGCGGGACGGGTCGCTGGCCCTGCGGGGCTTGCGCGCCGACGATGAAGCCAACTACACCTGCCGCTTCGCCATGTTCCCCGAGGGCAGCAGGAGCGCCCGCACCTGGCTCCGCGTGCTCGGTGAGCAGAGGAGTGGGGACAGAAGAGAGCTGGGGGGGGGGGGGGGGCGCTGGGGGAGGAGGAAGCGCAGGGATGGAGCGGGGAGATTCTGTGGGGACAAAAGGAGGAGATGGGGCAAAGATAGCGGCGGAAGGGGCTGGAGGCTAGGAAGAGAGTTGGGATCCTGGAGAGTAAGGTTAAGATCTTGCAGACTGGGGCGCCTGGGTGGCTCAGTTGGTTAAGCGACTGCCTTCGGCTCAGGTCATGATCCTGGAGTCCCGGGATCGAGTCCCGCATCGGGCTCCCTGCTCGGCAGGGAGTCTGCTTCTCCCTCTGACCCTCCTCCCTCTCATGCTCTCTGTCTCTCATTCTCTCTGTCTCAAATAAATAAAATCTTTAAAAAAAAAAAAAAAAAAGATCTTGCAGACTGAGGGCAGAGCATGGGGCGGGGGCGGGGGCGGGGCAGGGAGAATCCTCCCCGGGGCCTAGAAAGCACGGACGGAGGCCAGGGTTTGCCTCCCAGGTGGCTACCACCAGCTTGGCAAATGCTTTCATCTCAGATTCTCCCTTCCTCGCCTGTAAAATATGGTTAGTAACACGAGTGCTGCCCTCAGAAAGCTATCCCGAGGGTCTCGGGAGTTTATGCAGCTGAACCTTAGAACAGGGGCCCCTGTGAGCTCCTGATGGCTGTCAATCATTGTTACTCCCTTTGGTGAGGAAGGGAGAGTTGAAATACACAGACGGGAAGGAGGCTGATTTTGACACCCAGCAGAGGAGGCTTTCCCCAGCGGGGGCCCAAATGCCCTCCCAGGCATTGTCATGGACGCATGGTTCATGTTCCTGAGAAGAACATTTCCCCTTTGAAATTAAGTCTCTGTGAAGTGGAGATCCCTCTGAGGATTAGTAAGAGTTGACTCACCGTTCGAGTGCGTGCCAGAACTGATCCAGGCCCTTACAGGAATGACTCCCCTGTGAAATGCTTGGAATGGTGCCCACAGCACCCAGCCAGAGGCAGCACTTGTCATTTCTGCAAATCTGGGACTTCAGGGCTTCGGGATGAGAGTAACACAGAACCAGTGACTGGCCCCGGGGGGACCAGCTCCCGGCATCTAGCCTCACGGGCGCCCTGGGCTGGATTGGAGGAGGCTGTGCTGACTTTCCTGTTAGTGGGGCGTCTGCGGAGGACAGAGCAGGGGAATGAAGGATGGCAGCTCACCACGGCTTCAAAGCTGTCTTGGTGGCTCTCAGTGGCCCACTTCACACTGAAGGTGCAGCTGTCCCAGGTGGGGGGGGGCTCTTGAAAGGTTACATGGTACTTCCGTCGTGGTTAGATGTGTGACCAGGACCACCCAAGAGAGCAAGCAAGACCAATTGGAAAGGTGGAAAAAATTGCAGTTTGAGATCTCTGCAGCTGAGATATCCTCTTCTCTGGCTGCCGCCAGAAATTTAGTAGAGCAGAGGGGCACCTGGGTGGCTTAGTTGCTGGAGCGACCGACTCTCTATTTTGGCTCAGGTCATGCTCTCAGGGTCGTGAGATTGAGCCCAGCATCGGGCTCCATGCTGGGCATGGAACCTGCTTGGGATTCTCTCTTTCCCCCAGCCCCTGCCCCATCCCTGCTCAAGCCCTCACTCATGCCCATTCTCTCTCTCTCAAAAAAAAAAAAAAAAAAAGGGCACCTGGGTGGCTCAGTTGGTTAAGCGACTGCCTTCAGCTCAGGTCATGATCCTGGAGTCACAGGATCGAGTCCCGCATCGGGCTCCCTGCTCGGCAGGGAGTCTGCTTCTCCCTCTGACCCTCCTCCCTCTCATGCTCTCTGTCTCTCATTCTCTCTCTCTCAAATAAATAAATAAAATCTTTAAAAAAAAAAAATTTTAGTAGAGCAGAAACAGGTTGGGCCCATGCTACTAGGAGATGGTCAGACGCTACCTGATTTCAAAGGAATATGAACAAGTCATCCTAACGCTGTGGCCAGAGGATTGGCACCAGAACAATTTCATTATCAAAATCTGAATCGAGCATTCTGGTTACCCCCGGACGGGGCGCCTCTGATAACAATCTACCCAGCCAGGTAGTACAAGAGCAGAGAGGGTCTAGCCCTGGGGCCTGGACCGTTCCTGACTGCTTTAGAGTAGGCCACAGACACCGAGACCACCAGAGCGGGAGAACCAGAGCAAACATCCTTTTGGAGGCATCGTGAACCTGAGGAGACCATCATGATAGGAGATGTTGGTGGGGCTCAGAATGTCAGCATTCCGGGTATCTTAGGAACAACTGGGAAATATGGAGCAGCAGACGAAAAAAAATTAATCTACCTCCTTACTTTGTGAGAGCGTCCCTTGGACTGTAGGCCACATTCTGGAGCATCTACCATGATCCCTTAGGTGAATCAGAAGAAGCTGCAAACACAGCTTTTCATGTCTGGAATGAATCCCTCCCCAATTCCTTGCCAACATAGATAGACCTGGACCAACCCTCCTCTACTGTACATTAATTAGGAAGAAAGGTGTTGAATGGCAGCCAGTCCTTAAGCCTTGCCTATGTCTTTTTTTTTTTTAAAGATTTTATTTATTTATTTGAGAGAGAGGATGAGAGGAGAGAGAGAGCACATGAGAGGGGGGAGGGTCAGAGGGAGAAGCGGACTTCCCGCTGAGCAGGGAGCCCGATGCGGGACTCGATCCCGGGACTCCAGGATCATGACCTGAGCCGAAGGCAGTCGCTTAACCAACTGAGCCACCCAGGCGCCCTTGCCTATGTCTTTTATTTTTGTGAAAGATGATGAGACCCAAAGAAAGGGAAAGCTGAGATTTTATGCCATGCCTTTTAAAATATTCATCAGTTAGGCAGGGCTGGGAGGGAGCATCTACCCCAGAGAGTCAAGTTCTCTGCTGCCTCCTCGCTGGTACACTGTGAATAAAATTGAATGGGGTTTTGCAAATTATAAAATAATGTGTTGAAAAGCGCGTTTGGCTGTAGTTTTAATACTGAGTTCAGCTGTGAAATCCATCAGACGTGCCGAGTGAAGTACAAGTCAGGAAAAGCAAGATAAATTGACCTTAAGCCCAAGTGATCAAGTGAATTTGCTTTAACAGATGTGGAAAACGAGATAACCTACTAGATTATTCCCAGCACCTGTGATTTCTTTTTCTCTTCATTAGCCAGAGATTGACTAATTTAAATTTAGAAGCTGATTTTAACTTAAAATTTCCATGAAGAACCTATTCATTGCAGATGCCTATTATACTGTGTAATCATTGTTTTGGAAATTTTATGTAAAATTAAAACTACCAGGATTTTACCCCCCCCCAAAAAAAAACCCCCACAACCAGTGAGTCAAATTTAAGAGAAATCTCCAGTCCATAATGACACTACACTAACAAGTAATAATGAGGAAGGAACCAAGCGGAGCCCCAGGTTTGGGAATCACCAGAAGAATGAAGAAGAGATGGTCACATGATGGGTTTGGAGTCAGACCTTGTGTGAAAGCCCAGCTCTGTCCCAAAGAACTGTGTGACCTCAAGCCTGCCTCCCCTTCTCAACTTCCAGAGCACTGCTCAGACCTCCTCTCGTCCATGAAGCCCTCCTTCATCACTCCCCCAACACTGGGACACCCCTTCTGGGCTCCCCCATCCCAGCCTTGCCCGCTCTGGGTTGCCACTTTCTGGGGAAATCTGTCTTCCCCTTGGACTGTATACCCTCTGACGGCAGGGCTGGGGCTGCCTCGGGCATTGCTGGGTCCCCGGCATTGCCCATCCTCCAGCCAGGCAATGTATTCAATTCCCAATAATAATAATAGCATTTACTGAGCACTTCTTATGCTCCAAGTACCATTTTAGGAGCTTTAGCTGCCTATTCTCATTGCCTGGGATCCTATCATTATCTCCCATTGACAGACAAAGAAACGGAGCACGGACGTGCCCAAAGCCACCCAACGGCTCAGGGACAGAGCTGGGATTTGAACCCGGCCCTCCGGGCTGCCCCGTTCTGCTGCTGCGCTGTTTGTTGACAGACTGCAGGCGGGGACTGACCGGTCCCTTTTGCTCCTGTCCACAGCCCAGCCGGAGAACAAGGCTGAGACCCAGGAGGTCCCGCTCAGCCCGCTCAGCCCAGATCCTGTGCCTGTGGCCCGCTGCGTCTCCAGTGAAGGTCGCCCGCCCGCCCGGATCTCCTGGTCACACCTGGATGGGCAGGCCAATGAGAGCCAGGTGCCAGGACACCTGCCCGGCACGTTCACCGTCATCAGCCTCTTGACCCTAACTCCCTCAAGCCAGACAGATGGCAAGACTGTCATCTGCACAGTGGAACATGAGAGCTTCAAGGAGCCCGTCCTTCTGAGCGTGACTCTCGCCATGCCTTGTGAGTGCACCCAAATGTGAGCAAGGATGAGGACCGCTCCCCGACTGTCCCCACCCCCACCCCCACATTGTCTACATGGGGCCCCCTTGGACCACAAATACTGTCCTTCATTGTCTGTACCAGCTTCTGAGGCCACAGTCAATGCTGTAGCCCGGCTTGTCTCCCCTGGCCCTCCTGGCCTCTGTCTACACTGACACCCCACACTGTCTCTCCCGGCTCCCTTGAACATGGCCTACACACACTGCCTCCACCTGCTTCCCTAGGCAGCTGTCTACACTGGCCTTACCCACATCGCTATGCTGTTTCCTGCATTGTCTACAACTCCCTTGTCCATTTGCTACATTGCCTCACCATCGTCTACACTGGGTGTCTGAATATTGCCTCCTGGGCAGTTGCTACACTGATTCCCTCCGGCACTGTCTACCCTGGACACCCTCAACGTTGCCACTGGGTCTAAGGGAGGAGGGGATCAACACTGGCTCCTCTCCGTAAAAAAAACACTCTGTCTCATTGGCCTTCCCCGTGAGGACCTTGGAAAGTCTTCCCTGTCGATCACATTTGGGATGGATCGACAGCAGCTGAAGCAGGGCCATCCAGGGTTCTTCCCAGCAGGACTCGTCAGAGCCTTGAATATGCTCCTGTGTGTTATGGGTGTCTAAAAGGCCTTTTCTAAGAGGACACCCATGGCATGCCAGGACCTGGCTACCCAGAAAAATGACTAGAGAGAAACAGGTCCCCAGAAGCCTTCTCAGCACCCTGCTACCTCCCACCATGCTGAGGACTTCTGGCCTGTTCTCTGGGGGACTCCATTGCCCCAGACTCCTCACGGGCCTCTCTGTCTTGGGCTGTTCCTGAAAACCCACTGAGGCCTTTTCTCATCACGACATGATCCCACGTATCTTCAGGCCCCTGTGAAGGGTCCCTGTCTCTGAGCCTGTGTGTCTGTTTCCTCCAGACCCCCCTGAGGTCTCCATTTCCGGCTACGATGACAACTGGTACCTCGGCCGCAGCAAGGCCACCCTGAGCTGTGACGTTCGCAGCAAACCAGAGCCCACGGGCTATGACTGGAGCACGTGAGTCCTGGGTGGTCCTGGACTCCCAGGTCTGAGGGAGGAGGGGCTGGGGGCCCAGACTCTTGGGTCTGAGGGAGGAGACAGGTACAAGAAAGTGAAAAGAGAGAAGTCGACGTTAGGCCCCAGTAAAATTTCTGTCTTGTATGCACAGTTTATGAGGAGGTTTAGTTCAGGTTCACCGTCACACCTGCTCTTTTCGGTTGTCTGCTGTGTGCGGGTCGGTGGTCACCTCATCCCGTGTGACCCCCACACTCCGGGCACAGGCAGCACCATCACCGTGCCTGGGGTCGAAGATAAGTTGGGCCCCAGTAGGGACCGCTCTGCACGGGTCCCACTGCCACAAGGGCACCCAAGTGACTCCAAATTGATCCTCTTAACCTCTGAGCTGTGCCACCTCCACCTCCTCGGTCACCTCATGTAACCCACTCAATCACTTCTGACGGAGCAGGTGCTGTCCCCATTCTCTAGATGAGGAAGCTGAGGCGCAGAGCACTCAGATTTCCTCAAATTCATAGCAAGACTAGGCTGAAGAGTGGGGAAAGAAAAAAGCAAAGGGATTGATTGTTTTACGTAATTCGTATCAGGCTTTTGTTCTTATTACAAAATAACTTGTGGCCATTGTAGAAACTTAAGACAATCCAGTTATAAGCAAAAAGAAGAAAATAAGACAAAAATACCCACCGTTACCCTTTGTTATATACCCCTCCCACCTTTTATTCTCTACGCTTCTCAACAAAAACTGCCGTAGGCACCGTTTTGAAACTTTGCCTTGGTCTCAGGATCGCCTTCCCGCATCACGGCACGTAGGTCCCCACCCCCATTTCCCCCAATAGTTCGTCAGGTGAATCCGTAGACGTACAGAAAGGATGTAAGACTTTCCCAGCGAGCACTCAAGAACCCACCCCATGGATTCTCCTGCTCACCTTTTACTGGATTTGCCCAGTCGCATCCATCAGTCTGTCCCTCTCCCCATCCATCTGTCTTCTACCTGTTATGCACGTCAGAGTCCCCACAGCCCCCTTTTTGGTGCTGCTGGGATCCCATTCCATCCGATGTGCATGCCATCAGTTACTTAACTAACCCCGGACGTGGGATACGGGGCTCGCTCGTCCCCACTTGCAACCATGCAGATGGCACGGTGGCGCCCATCCCCCACCGGCCACCTCTGTGGATAGCCACAGCCGTGTCTCTACAGTCAGTCAAAGGAGTCACGGTCAAAGGTTTTCCAGTGGCGTTGGCAGACGCCTCTCCTTGTCCTGCCTCAAAGCACCGTGATCCAGGCTCGTGCGCCACGGGGCTGGGTTTCCAGGCCGGCTCTGCAGGACGCCCAGAATCCCATGCTTGCGTCTTCTCTGTCCACTAAACCGAAGCGTTTTTGACTGTGTGCTGTGTGCCAGATCGCACGGGCCAACGTGCCCCGGTAAATAAAACAGACCAAGTTCCCTCCCCTCCTGGTGCTTCCACTCTAGTGGGAGAGGGAAACAAGAAACAAAACAACGCTGTGAAGTCCATGGTGCGTCAGATGGGGATAAAGGGATAAAGGCTGCGGGAGAGGTAAAGCAGAGGGTGGGGGCGCATTGCAGTTAAAATCGGGTGGCCAAGAAAGGTGTCGCTAAGGTAACATCTGAGCAGAGGCCTGAAGGAAGGGAGGATGAGCTGGGTGCGTACCCAGGGGAAGAGCATTCCAGGCAGAGGGAACAGCAAGTGCAGAGACCCTGAGGTGGGAGCCTAACTGGAGTGTTCGAAGATCAACAAGGAGGCCACCGTGGACACAGAGGAGAGGGGAGAGTCATAGACTGTGGTTGGTGGTATCTGCAGCCAGCGCACGGGGTCTGTGGCTGCGTAAGCACTTTGGGTTTACGCTGAGTGAGGCGGGAGCCACGGGAGGGCTCTGAACAGTGAAGGGATGTGAACAAGTTAGTTCTAACAAGATCTCTCCAGCCGCTGCATGCGGGAACAGAGGGGGCTGTGGGGTGGCGTGGAGGCAGGGAGCCCTGTGAGAAGGTGGCCACGGAGGCCCAGGAGCAGGGGGATCAGCCCGGGGTGGTGGCCAGGGAGGCCTTGCAGAGCAGTCAGAGTCTGGAGAGGTTTTGGAGTTGGGGTGGATGGCACCTGCTGATAAGTGGGATGTGGGTATGAGAGGAAGAGTCGGGAAATTCCAGGGTTGCTCTCAGCTGAGATCGGAGATGGCGTGAGTGTACAGTGAGAGTTCACACCTGCCGCTTCCTCCCCCATCTGTCTCTCCCAGGACCAAGGGGCCCCTGCCACCCTCTGCTGTGGCCCAGGGCTCTCGGCTCCTGATCCAGACCGTGGACGAGTCCATCAACACGACATTCATCTGCCGTGTCACCAACGCCCTAGGGACTGGCCAGGCAGAACTGACCATCCTGGTCAGAGGTGAGGAGCCCTTTGGGTGGCGAGAATAGAGGGACCGAAGGAGGAGGTCACAGCAGGATTCCCTCTGAGGGAGGAGTTAGGAGGTGGTTCCTGATTAAGGGAGTCCTCAGACACAAGAATGCTTTCTGATTCCCATCCTTCCCCTAACCCCCCTCATGAAAGGACCAGTGGAAGGACCATGAAAAGACCAGCTCTACTCTCTGTTAACTCACCATCTATACCATTAGAACTATTGTACAGCCCCCTGGATACACCCCCTCTGCAAACCCAGGCTTGGGTAGCTGTGTGAGGCTTGTCCCCAGGGACTCAGAAAGGCCTTTCCAAGCATCTGAGGCAGGACTCTCTATCAACTGCAAATGATAGAAGCACAACTCAAAATGATCTAAGCAAAAAACAGGACTTTATTGAAAATGCACCTTCAGGTAGGGTTGGATCCAGATGCTCCAGCCATGAAACCCAGGAACTTTCCTTTCCATCTCTTGTCTCTGCTTTTCTCTGTGTTCTCAGGGAGGTGAGATGTCCCTCGGCAGTTACAGCCTCCCATCTTACCAGTTTAGTAATCCCAGGGGAAAGAATACACCACTTTCATTAGCTCTAGCCAAAGTCCCAGGGCTGAGTGTCATTGGCTTAGCTGGGGTCCCAGCACTCCCGTGAATCTATCACAACAGCCAAGGAGAATAGAATGCTCCGATCGGCCAGGCCTGGGTCAAAGTCCCATCCTAGGAACCAGAGGGTGGAGTCAAGTCCTCCTGAACCGTGACCAGGAGAGGCCGAGCGGTAACTTCCTTAAAGGATAAGGAGTCATGTTTTGGGGGCAGGTGAAGACCCCAGGAGCCTCTGAACCTAACCCTGCTTCCTTCTTCTCTTCCAGAAGAACCTCCCAACCAGACGCTACAACAAGGCTTGTCTGTCGAGAACATCATTATCCTGACTGTGGGAGTCGTGGTCGGTCTGGCCCTGCTGGGGTTCCTGATTTATTTCCGGCTATTTCGACGCCCCCGTGAGTCCCTCCTCTTTGGCATATCTCCTGCCTGTCGGCTGTGAATGAGCGTCACCACAGCCGCCATGCTTGGCCACCTACTATGATCTAGACTCAGCCCCGAGTACGGCAGCCCCCCGCTGAATCCTCAGTACCGTGAGCTTCCCCCATCTGACACAGGAGTACACCAAGTTCAGAGACTCCTGTTCATTGGATCGTTGATTCCTTTTACAAATGTTTAGGGAGGAGGGGCCGCAGCTGGCGCCCTGATCCCAGCTCTTAAGGGCCTGATGCTCTTGACTGAAGGGCTCTGCACAGGCGGTTCCCCTGCCTGGACCACTCTCCCCACGGCTCCTTCTGGTGAAGCCCTTTGGCTTCATAAGAAGAGCTGCTGAAGAGCTACGTTTTGCAGAGGACTTTCTGCGTGCCGAGCGCCGAGCCCCGCTGTATAGATGAGGAAATGTTTGCCTGGAGAGAGGAGGTCTGCCAGTGGGAGGGCAGTTCTGGACTACAAAGCTCGTTCCCTCAGCCACTAAACCAAACTGCCTCCTCACGTCCCAGCTGGAGGCCGCCTCCTCCAGGAAGCCCTCCCCAATTTCCCAGAGTGAGCCAAGCACCTGCTCTGGGCTTCCCAGCCCCAGCCCTTGCCCACTCTGGGACATGCCACTGTGTGGGGGCTCATCTGGCTCTCCCGTGAACTGTGATCCCCAGGAGGACAGAGCTAAAACTGTCATGGTCACAGCTATGTCCCCAGCCCCGCCTACCACTTGAGGAAGTGCCAAGCGTGGCAGCTCTGGAGCCAGACTGCCTGTGTCTGGGCCCGCATTCTACTGCTTTATTTTGTCATCAAGGGCAAATGACCTAACCTCTTTGACTCAGTTTCCTCCTCTGTGAAATGGGAGTAAGCATCCCTGATCGTGCATGTGAAGCAGTTAGCGCAGCATTTGGCACATCGTAAGCCACGCACTAGGTGCATGTAGGCTCAGATTCCTGTTGCCTCCAGTATGATCACCATGGTTAATAGGAGCTCCGTGAGAACAGGGATTCGGGGCTGTTTTGCTCGCAGCTACATCTCCAGCACCTAGAATGCACCTGGCGCAAAGTAGACATTTCCTATTTGCTGAATAAATCCCTGTTTGATGGTTGAGGAAACTGAGGCACAAAGTGTCAATTGCCCGAGGTCACACAGCTCCTCAAGGACAGAGCTGGGATTTGAAACCTTCTATCAGGTTCCAGAACCCATGCTGAATAAATAAATATTCATTTATACTTGATAACTGCATGCATAGCTGGGTGAGGCACATACCCCAGTCCTGTTTTACAAATAACCACTGTGGAGAGTGGCTCCCCCATGTCAATAGCAGAACTGGGACTGAGAATTCAAGGGGCTCTGCCACCCACATGTGTCCTCTCGCCATGCTGTCTAGCATTGTCATTCCTTCCTGACAACTTCTCCTCCTCTTTCCCTAGGTCGGGACCAACACAGCTCTTCTGCTAATGGCGTAAGTGTGGTGGTGGGGCTGAGGAGGGTGTGGGGGTCTGCACGAACCCCAGACTAATTGCATGGACATTCCCAAGGAGGGGACAGTCATCTCTGGGCACCTGCATTGCTTAGTCAAAAGCCAGCATGGTATCAGGAGCCAGGTCCCGGATCTTTTCTCCCGATGCCTCGAGCCGTACTTCCCAACCTTTCCTGCTGGGCAGACTCCCCTGAAAAGTTTGCTTAAAAAATGCAGGTTCCCAGGCCCTGCCCCGTGAGCATCTGGTCTGGTGGGTCTGTGCTGGGGCCTGGGGATCTGCATTTCCATAGGTGCCCCTCCCCCTCCCCACTCATGACCACACCTTAAGAAATGCTGCCCCAATCACTTCTTGGCCTTTTGGCTAAGATCAACTGAGGAGGCGCTGCCCTGACTTCCAGGGAGAGGGGAGGGGACAGGCCTGCACGCTGGGCTCCAGTGGGCAGATTCTGTTTGGAAGGGCCCTGAGGCTAACGTCTGAATATCTGCCTTCTAGTATGCCTCCTATACGGCTGTGGACGTCAATGCCAGGTCTACCCAGGATCCACCGACAGAGAGCACAAGGTGACAGCGTCAGGACTGTTGGAGAGAGACACTGTGGCTGGGGCGGACTTGGACCTCGCAGCTGGCCCCTGGCCCCAGGGGACGAAGTCTCCCTCCAAAGAGACTGGCCACCCTTCTCATGCCAGACCTCAAGAATGTCCCCTCCGCCCTGCATTGCAGTGGCAGGTGCAAGTTCAAGTGCCCGCATGACCCCTCTCGGGTGCAGTCATGCGCTGGAAGGAATCGCAGCACTCAGGAAAGCCGTTGTGCTCACGGTTACGGTTTATTACAATGAACAGATGGGGTTAAGGTGAAAAGCCTTAACCTGTGAAAAGCCACATGGGGCACCATCCGGGAGAGTCCCGCCACCAGCTATCAGTTTACACAGACAGTGCTGATTTCTCCCAGCAATGATGTGTGACAGCACACAGAGTCTCGCTAACCAGAGACGCTCACCTGAGCCTTGGTTTCCAGGTGGGACCCCACAGACTATTCCAACTGCCAGAAAATTTTTGTAAGAATTTGATTTTCTAGCCTTGAGCTTCTAAATCTATGTATCCGTGGCATCCCTGTGGTTACAAGAAAGAGCCACTGACCCTTGTCCAGAAGAGAACCCGAGGCTGGAGCTCAGCTGCTCAGGGCTGTTCAAGGAGCAGGAAAAATGGTGGACATGAACTTGAAGGATGTGAGGTCCTGGCACCTTCTGCCAAGACTCAGGTCCCAGAAGAGCATCTGTAGCCAGCGTGCTGGGCTTGGCGGGACCCCGGAGAATGGGAGCCAGTAACCCACCAAGGAAAGCAAAGTGTCAAAAACAAGGAGGAAGAGGTCCTGGAGGAGCAGAAGCCACAGCTGTGCAAGACAATGGACGGCCTTCAGACCAGGGAGGATACAGCCTAAGGTTCCGGAAGCAGAGCTGCTCAGATGCAACGGACCCGTTTCCTTTATAACAGACTCTGATCTCAGGATCAGGCACCAGAATTCCTCTTACAGCAAGACCCATCTGTTGGTGAAGTACTTGGCAGGAAATAAGACCGTGGGCCAGGATGCTAAACTAGAGCATGAGGCATGAGCTGCTGTGCAAGAGAAAACAAGTCCTTGGGATCTGTTCTGGACAGAAGGGAGAGTGTGAACAGAGAAGAATGGGAGGAGTGAGGGGCAAGGGTGTGGCAAGGCCCATCAGGCTCCACAGTGTCAGGGAGATGCTGCTACATAAACCCTTGTCCATCCCCAGCCACAAATACTTTATTAAACTTAATTTATTACACCTTGAGTGGCTGTGTGCAAGGGAGGACTTTTGCAGGAATTGGGGAGGGGCTGAGTTTTGTGTGGATTTCCAGCATGTGGGACAGAACCAGAGGTGTGGGAGCAAGAACGTGAATCGGGCAGGGGGGGGGGTGCCTGGGTGGCTCAGCCAGTTAAGTGACTAAGTCTTGATCTCAGCTCAGGTCTTGATCTCAGGGTCATAAGTTCAAGCCCCACACTGGGCACGGAGCCCACTTAGAAAAAGGCAAAAGAAGACCCCAGGGACATGAGCCCCCAGGTTTCTCAGATGCCCTGGGGAGAGCTCATCTTATTTCTCTCTTAATATTTTTAACTAGGTCGTATATAAACATCCCCAAATCCAAAGTTATAAAAAGCATCAGGGATCCACTTTGAGTTAATTTGCGCATAGAGAATAAGGTGAGAGTCCAGCTTCATTCTTTTGCTTACGGATATCCAGTTTTGCACAACCCTGTGAATGTGATTAAGGCCACAAAACTGTACACTTAAAAATGCCGGAAATGGCCAATTTTTGTCATCTCTATTTTCCCACAATTTTTAAAAATAATGTAACATACCAAAAACCACCAAAAATACATCTTATTTTTTTAAAGATCTTATTTATTTATTTATTTGACAGCGCACAAGCAGGGGGAACAGCAGGGAGTGGGAGAGGGAGAAGCAGGCTCCCTGCTGAGCAGAGAACCCGATGCGGGACTCGATCTCAGACCGTGGGATCAGGACCTGAGCCGAAAGCAGACATCCAACCAACTAAGCCACCCACGCACCCCCCGAATAGTACATTTTAGAGGGGGAGTTATGTCACCACAAGCTTAGTGGCTTCAGACACAAAATTCTTCTCTTACAGCTCTGGAGGTCAGAAGTCCAGAGTCTTGGGCGCCTGGGTGGCTCAGTTGGTTAAGCGACTGCCTTCGGCTCAGGTCGTGATCCTGGAGTCCCGGGATCGAGTCCCACATCCGGCTCCCTGCTCGGCAGGGAGTCTGCTTCTCCCTCTGACCCTCCCCATTCTCATGTGCTTGCTCTCTCTCATTCTCTCTCTCTCAAATAAATAAATAAAATCTTTAAAAAAAAAAAATGTCCAGAGTCTTACTGGGCTAAAATCAAGGTGTCAGCAGGGCTGGTTCCTCTGGAGGCTCCGGGCGAGAATCCGTTCCCTGCCTTTCCAGCTTCTAGAGGTGCTGCCAGCATTCCTTAGCATACAGCCCATCACGTGCCTTTCCTCCTCCTGCTCCCTCCTCCCTCCTTCCTCCTCTGACGTCCTTGCCTCCCTCTTCCCTTTAAAGAACCCTGTGATTACACCGGGCCCACTCGGGTCATCCAGAATAAGCTCCCCATCTCAAGGTCCTGAACTTAATCACACCTGCAAAGTCCTTTCGCCATATAAGTGAACATATCTTATCTACCACGCCCACCAGGATAACCATGGCATTACTTGTCAGGTGAGGTTATTGCACAGAGAACAAATATATATTCTTTTTTCCATACTAGGTAACATCTGACACACCGTTCTGCACCTTACTTTTATTACTAGGGTTTCTGGAAATTCTGAGAGAGTGTCTTCTGTCTTTTTACAAAAAGCCACATAGTGGGGTGCCTGGGTGGCTCAGTCGGTTAAGTGTCTGCCTTCAGCTCAGGTCATGATCCCAGGATCCTGGGATCGAGTCCTGCATCAGGGCCCCTGCTCATTGAGGAGTTTTCTTCTCCCTCTGCCCCTCCCCCCTCCACTTGTGCTCTCTCTCTCCCAAATAAATAAAATCTTTTTTTTAAGCCACATAGTTGGACACCTGGGTGGCTCAGTCGGTTAGGCAGCTGCCTTCGGCTCAGGTCATGATTCCAGGGTCCTGGGATCGAGTCCCACATCGGGCTCCCTGCTAAACAGGGAGCCTGCTTCTCCCTCTCCTATTCCCCCTGCTTATGGGTGCACACTTGCTCGCTCTCACTCTCTCTCTCACTGTCAAATAAATAAAATATTTTTTAAAAAATTTTAAGCCACATAGTAAGTACTCCACAGGGGGACATCCAGGACTTTTTCAACCAACCCCTTATTGGACAGGTGTTTGTAGTATTTCTGCCCCTCTACCCCTGGAGGTGAAATTGCTAGTCAAAGAGCATGTGCCCCTGTTGTTGCAATAGATACTAACAACTTGTCCCTGTAGAAGTCTCTGTTCCCGGGGCGCCTGGGTGGCTCAGTCGTTAAGCGTCTGCCTTCAGCTCAGGTCATGATCCCAGGGTCCTGGGATCGAGCCCTGTATTGTGCTCCGTGCTCTACGGGAAGCCTGCTTCTCCTTCTCCCACTCCCCCTGCTTGTGTTCCCTCTCTCACTGTCTCTGTCAAATAAATAAATAAAATCTTTAAAAAAATAAAATGGTTAAAATGAGGGGTGCCTAGGTGGCTCAGTCGGTTAAGCATCTGACTCTTGATTTTGGCTCAGATCATGATCTCAGGGTCGTGAGATCGAGCCCCATGTGGGGCCCCATGCTCAGTGGGGAGTCTGCTTGAGATTCTCTCCCTGCCCCTCTGCTCTTCCCCTCTCTCTAAAACTAAAAAATATAATAATAATATAATATAATATATATAATATAAAATATAACGGTTAAAGTGATCAATTTTATGTGTTAATTTTATCACAATTTAAAAAAAACTTTAAATTTTTATAGAAAAAAAAATGTTTCCATTTCCCAGCTCTTAGGGGCAGAATTTTTAGGAACCAATTAAATTCATGAAGTGAAGGATGGGTGAATTGTAAAGAAAAAAAATAGTATCTTAACTTTTTTTAAAGATTTTATTTATTTATTTGTTAAAGAGAGCGCACAAGCAGGGGAGTGACAGACAGAAGGAGAAGCAGGCCCCCGCTGAGCAAGGAGCATGATGGGGAACTTGATCCCAGGACCCTGGGATCATGACCTGAGCTGAATGCAGCCGCTTAACCAACTGAGCCACCCAGGCATCCTGTAACCTAAATTTTAAAGAAAACAGTTATTTAATGACCCCCGTTAAAGCACAATAAGGCAGACTTTCTTCAAGGGGAGGGGCTGTTGCAATAGGATCACAGCAATGGGATCTTGTGGGGGACTGGCAGGGGATTAGACTCAGCTCTGAACACAGCAGGGGCAAGTGGGACTTTATAACCAAGGAGCAGGGGATGGGGGTGCAGCGGGTGGGACTTTACTAAGAGGTAACATCAGGGATAAGGGGGATCCTGGCTAACCTGACCTGACAAGATTCTTGCTGAAGGCAGGCCAGGGTGATCAGACATCACCCGGAGAGTGGGGGTGGGGGGTGGGGGGTGGAGGATGAGGAACCTGATCAGACGTGGAGAGCAAGCAGCTATGAAAGGTGGGTTAACTGTCCAATTAAACTGACTTAGGAGGATACTTGCCAAAACTGGGCAAAACAGACATGAACACAGAAGTCCAAAACTCAGGCTTCGTAGGAAGAGTGCATGGGAGCCTAGGTCGAGTCCAGCCAATGAGAGAATCTCCATCAGTATATAAAAATGTGATGGTGAGGATGCTTCAGGCGCCAAGAGCAGAGAGCGCCCTCTCTCTCCGACACTCCCCAGGCTGGGATTCAAAACAAGGAACCAAAGTGTCTGTTTCTATTCCAGGCACCATGTGTGGAGTTCAGCTCTGCTACTCTGCTGTTTGTTCCGTTTTCCGCCATATATTGGCATCACCCTCAGGCTGGCGCCAAGATGGCTGCTGCATTCCAGCCATTGCAACCAGACCCAGACCTGGAAAAACAGACCACCTTGTGCTGCGTGAACTTTCCCAGCAGCCTTCTCTCAGCTATCATTGGCCAGCATCGCCCACTGCTCAACCAATCCCTAGCCAAAAGGAGGAGACTGCCAGGGAGGCTTGGACCAATCAGGACCTGTCCTCTGGGGCTGGGGAAAAACCCAGAGGAAGGCTGCCGAACGGAGCACCGAAGTCTGGACCTCTAGTATTTATTAGCGGTGACTCTCTCTGGGTAGTTGGAAGGTGGGTGAATTTTACTCTCTTCTTTTGGAAGAGAAGCTTCAGCACCTGGAAAATTCAGAATAACTGGCTTTGCTTTATACGCTGCCTAGCACTGCTTACAGAGCCTTTGCTCCAGGGGGTTAGGGGTGATAATGTATCAGAATCCCTCTGATCCCCTAAACTCCTCTGCTGCTGCAAAACCAAATTCCTACCAGAATGAGGCTGGTTTGGGCAATTTTGTTGCAGCCCAAACTTGGAACTGTCTCCCCTAGGCGGCTCCACTTGGAAACAATGGCTGGGTTTGCAAAAATCTCTCTCTCTCTCAAGCAGATAGAGGAAATTTCCAAACTGCAGCCAGAAGGACTGAAGGTAAATCCCTGTGAACACGACAGTAAACATCGTACAAAACCTTACAGACATTAGGGACTTTTCAGGAGGTGGGGGATCAGTAACCCCTCCAGAGAAAATGCACTTCCCTTGAGCAGGGTCCCAGAGGGGCAGGGAGAATTCAGGAGGTAGCTCAGGTCCAAAGACAAAGTCAGCACTACCACCAGGAGACAGCTGTTGGGGCATGAGCATCTCCTTACCCCTCCCAGCAGCCCCGTGAGGTGCGGATGCTTGTCCCCATTCTCCAGAGGAGAGGTGAAGTCATTTGCTACCAAGATCCCACAGCCAAGTGGTAGCAGAGGCAGGCTGAGAGTGAGGCTCCCCAGCTCGCCACACGGCTGGGCTGGACTCTGCAATTGTTCAGCCCGCCTGGGCCACGTCACCCCAGCCCAAGGTGGATCAAAGTCAAGACTTCTCTCTCACTCCAACCTGGGGACCCTGGTAAATGCCATCACCTCCGGCAATCTGGTGACATACACAGGCAAACTGCTACTGAGTTATGACACCCCAACCTAGCGTTCTTCCCAGAGACCCGGAAACCTCCCCTGGTGCTGCCCCCTTCAGATCCGTAGACAAGCGCTGTCCAACAGAGATTTCCGTGATGCTGAAGGAAATGTTCTGTAGCTGCGCTATGAAATGTGATAGCCACATGGGATAATTGATTAACTTGAAAGTGACCAGGTCGAGAAACTAATTTTGTTTGTTGGTTGGTTTTAAAGATTTTATTTATTTGAGAGAGAGAATAAGAAAGAGAGAGCACATGAGAGGGCGGAGGGTCAGAGGAAGAAGCAGACTCCCTGCCGAGCAGGGAGCCCGATGCGGGACTCGATCCCAGGACCCTGGGATCATGACCTGAGCCGAAGGCAGATGCTTAACCAACTGAGCCACCCAGGCGCCCCTTATTTATTTATTTTTTATTTTTTTATTTTTTATTATTATTTTTTTAAGATTTTATTTATTTATTTGAGACAGAATGAGAGAGAGAGAGAGAGCACATGAGAGGGCGGAGGGTCAGAGGGAGAAGCAGACTCCCTGCTGAGCAGAGAGCCCGATGCGGGACTCGATCCCGGGACTCCAGGTTTGTGACCTGAGCCGAAGGCAGTCGCTTAACCAACTGAGCCACCCAGGCGCCCCTCGAGAAACTAATTTTGAAGGTGCTGAATTTTAATTAATTTAAGGGTCTATTTCAGTCACCTTAGGTGACTGTCTATAGTATTAGCACAACCCTGAACCCTCCATCACCTAGACCCTGTCCCAACAGAGCTCAAAATTCCAATTAATCCCTCCTTCTTCCCCAGCCTCACCCCCTCCTACTCAGTGTCCCCTCAGCCAGGATTTTTAGCCTCCAAGCCTTGCATGTGCTATTTACGTTGCTTGGCAAACCTCACCCCCCGCCCCTGCGCCCCACCATCTGTCTCATTGCTACTCCCACTCCAGGTCTCTGTTCAGATGTGTCTTCCTCCAGGAAGGCTTCCCTGCCCCTCAGGCTGAGTGAGGCACCCCTTTGGGCTCTCCCGGCCCCCTGGGCTCCTCCGTCCCACTGCTGATCACTGTGGATCATTGCCCTGGGGATCGGTCTGCTCCCTGCAATACAGACACAGAACTGTGAGCCCCGCTGTGGACTGAGGACAAAGCAAGAACCATCTCAATCACCACTGTGTCTGCAGCACCACCCAGCACAGCGTTGAGCGTAGGGAGTGTTGTTGGAATGAATGAATGGTGGATGCTTTTGAAAAACTGTGCTAAGAGCTTTAGAGTGAGCCAGCCAAAGGTCAAGTCCCATCTCCACCTACTGGTAGACTTGCCTCCTTCCTCGAGCCTCTGTTTCCTCATCTGTGAAATGGACGCAGTTATGTGTGGTTGGATGTTGGATGAAGCAGTTGTGTTGGGCCTCTCTGCAGGGACCTGCCTGGCCCAGGGGGATTGCTCAAGCAGAGACTGCCACGACTCCCTCCCATTGTGATTACTGCTAATGTTCCTGACAGTCACACGAGTGGGAAGAAGAGGTTGAGGGGATTAAGGGAGGAGTCCAGGGAAGCCCCAGGAAGGTCCCCAGTCACCCTGGAAAACTGGTTCAACCGGTGTCTGCGCCCATCCCAGAGAGCACAGGTGAAGCCTCTGGAGCCTGTGGAAAGGGGGTGCTGGGGCTTGGCCGGCCTCGGCCATGTCTAGAAGGCACCCCCAAGACCCCCACTGAGCTGGCCTACTTCCGACAGCCAGGGCCCAGCCCTCCAGCCCCATCAGTGTCCACAGTGGCCCCTTGGCATCTCCACGGGACACCAAGATGGAGATTCCCGAGAGGGCCCAGTGCCACTTCTCAAAGGGCCTCCTGCTCTCAGGTAAGGGGGAGCACCCCAGGGCTGAGGGGGGAAGGTGGGACTCAGCCCAGGGGTTGAGGTCTCCTCTCAGAAGAAGAGAAAGATTGCCAGGGAAGATGAAATTATTAGAGTAAGATGGGGGGGATGCTGGTTTGAGCCGTAGAATCACAGCCCCATACCCAATTTTACCTATGGAATTTTCTGGACTATCAGGACCAGGAAGATAAGAATGTTGTTTGTTTGTGGGGTTTCTTTGGAGGAGGGGTGTTTTATTCTTTTGTCTTATTTGCAATATCATACATAATGATCAAACTGCTACAATGTTCACACCTATTACTGCAAATTCAAACCCCAAGGAAAACTATTCCCGGGAATTTACTGAGGTCAGGGTCAGGCTGCCTGGTACAAGGCCAGACCATCATGAGGACAGGAATTTATCTGTATTTGTTTCCCTGTTATATCCCAAGTGCCTAGAAATCTAGGGAATTTTAGATATATCATATATAATTGGTACTGTAGCATAAATAATATGTAAGTCTGTAAGTCCTGGTTAGATGGATGAATGAATAAATTCAGAGAGTCCAACTGTTTAGAGGCAGACCACACATCATCTCGGCTGCCCCGAGATCCGCTGGACTAATGGGATGAGAAATGTGTGGCTTTCCTATCTGGGTTCCCACTCCTGAACCCAGTGCAGACATCACTCATCAATCCCAGCCCTGTTTCCAATGAACAGCGGTCAGAGTCCTTGTCCCCAGATGAGGACATATAGGGAAGAAAATGCTTTTGTCCCTGCCCAATGCTTCTGACCTCAGGCCACCCCTGTAACTCCCCACAGCCTCATTCCTGGCCCTCTGGATCCCCCAAAGCTCCTGGGCTGCCCTCCACATCCAGAAGATTCCAGAGCATCCTCAAAAGGACCAGAACCTTCTCCTGTCCGTCCAGGGCATCCCAGGCAACTTTCAGGACTTCAATTGGTACCTGGGGAAGGAGGCCACCTGTCCGTCCAGGGCATCCCAGGCAACTTTCAGGACTTCAGTTGGTACCTGGGGAAGGAGGCCAATGGTGGCACGATGTTATTCACCTACTTCCCTGACCTCCAGCGGCCCCAGAGGAACGGCAGCGCCATGGGGCAACGTGACATCGTTGGCTTCCCCAGTGGGTCCAAGCTGCTGTGTCGCATCCAGCCCACAGACAGCGGCACCTACCAGGTAGCTGTCACCATCAATCCTGACTGGACCATGAGGGCCAAGACCGAGGTCCAGGTGGACGGTGAGTGTTATGCTGCTGAGGGAGAAAGTGGGTAGGCTCATGCACCCCGATGCCTGCCATGGGTCAGGACCACTGCCCTATATTAACTCATTTGTATCTTTAAAAACAAAACAAACAAACAAACAAAAAGTATGAGGGGCACCTGGCTGGCTCAGTCGGAAGAGCATGCAGCTCTTGGTCTCTGGGTCCTGAGTTTGAACCCCACACTGGGTACAGAGCTTACTTAAAAATAAATAAATAAATAAACTTTAAAATTAAATTAGGGGCACCTGGGTGGCTCAGTCGGTTAAGTGCCTGACCAGCTCAGGTCATGATCTTGGGGTCCTGGGATCGAGTCCTGTGTCAGGCTCCCTGCTCAGTGGGGAGCCTGCTTCTCCCTCTGCCCCTCCCCCCACTTGTGCACACACAGACTCTCTCTCTCTCAGATAAATAAAATCTTTAAAATTAAATTAAATTTTAAAACCCTATGAAATGTGATATGCCATTTACATCTCAATAGAGCTGGGGGAATAAAATCACTTCTCAACCCTCCCGGGCAGACTTGGTCATTAACCATCCATGTCCCCAGAGGACTCTGATCATCCCATTACCTCTGTGATTTTCATAATGTGCTCTGATGCATCACATTCCAAACATGTCTCACTAGGAGAGTAATTCTTCAAGGTGAGAGAGTGAAAATATACTTGTCCTTTTATCATCCAGCATCTACCACGGTGCGGGGGGATGGGGGGGGACACGCAGTAGGTTCTCAGTTAATGTTTGTTGAATAAAGAAATAAATGAAAACTTTCTCTTTTCTTTTGAAGAGAGAGAGTTGGTTGGGGGGCCAGAGGGATAGAGAAAATCTCAAGCAGGTCGTGGAGACTGACTTGGGCTCGATCTCATGACCTGAGCTGAAATCAAGAGGCAGACGCTTAACTGACCGAGCCACCCAGGTGGCCCTGAATGAAAACTTTCAAAACCAAAAACTCCATGAGGCAGCCCCATTATTGTCTTCATTTTACAGTTGGGGAAACTGAGGCACAGAGCGTGGTATGGCTGGGATTTGATCCCACGAAGTCACAATACCAGAGTCTGGGAGCTTAACTACTTCCTCTCAAAGCAGAGAAAGAAGGAAAAAAAGTCTCCTTGCCTTCATTCATATGTGGGATGCCAATAACGAGCATGTAAATAATAAATTAAGATCATATTTTGGAGACATTAACAATAATAGTTATCGCTAACATTATTTAGTGTTTATTACATGCCTACTATATGTATAACTCATTTACTCCTCACTGCTGCCCTGTGAAGTGGGTAATATTATTGGACTCATTTTACAGATGAGGAAACTGAGGCACAGAGAGGTTATAATTTCCCCAGTTTAAAAAAAAAATTAAACAGGATGATGTGATATGGGATGGGAGGTCATCAAGAAGGAGTGACATTTGAACAGAGGAAAGGAAGGGAGCCCTGAAGATTTCTGAGGGACAGAGTTCCTAGCAGAGGGAACCGCAAGTGCAAAGGCCCTGAGGTAAGGCTAGCTTAGTGTGTTCAAAGCATATAGACAGAAGGATGCCATGGCTATAAAGCAGTGAGCAAGTTGGGTGTTAGGAGTTGAGATCTGAGAGGCACACAGGGGCCAGGCTTGTTGGCCGTGGGGAGATTGAAAGAAGCCACTAGAGGGTTTTAAACAGAGGAGTGATCTGATTCCTCCAGTTTAACCCAGTCATGGTTAAGTGTGGGCTGAATCTCCATTCTATCCAGAAAGAAGCTGAGGCTCGGTGGTTTAAGGCATGCCCTGAATATTAGGCATCCAGCCATCGAATCAGCGACAGGGTTGAGATTCGAATGCAGGACTGCCTGAATGAGACACATAGCTGCCTCTGCAAATGCTGAGCTGCTCATTCACTTGTTCCTTCAGCAAAGCTTCCCCCAGTGCCTCTTCCTCAAGGCCGCCTCTGCGTCCAGACTGTACTGGGCTGTGCTGGGGATGCAGTGCAGACTGAGGCTGCCCTGGCCCTGCCCTTACAGGGCTCACAGCCCAGCGGGGGAGACTGATATTAACTAATAATCACACACACAAAATAGATCATTATGCACAGTGCAGGGACCGTGAAGGAAAGGCACATACGGGGATGATGAGAGTGTAAATCGAGGGGTATAAGGGAGGTTGCCCTAGGAAGGTGATCCTTCAACAAAGCTTCAATGATGACTAGCAGTCCTAAGTAGAAGGGAAAGGAGCTTTGGGAGGTGTTTGGACAGAGGGCTTGGTCTGTGCAAAGGGCCTGTGGCAGGAAACTGTAGGGCTCATGAACTGAGCTGGCAGGAGGCCAGCATGACTGAGGCAAAAGAACAGGAGGGGCATCCTCGGAGGCCAGAGCAGCGGGATGTATTCAAGCCAAGGCTCAGGTTGTAAGGACAGAAGCTCTCTGCAACTGACTCACAGTGTAGGGAGCCTTGTAGGACCCCAGGGTAGCCTCCTGGGATGTTGGTTCCAAGAGCCCTGGGTTCACAGCTGTCTCCTCCAAGCCTAGAACAGGGACAGACACGCTGTTGCATAAATGAATGGGTGGGGAGCCCTTCAGAGCTGATGGGAAATAGAAGTTGCCAGAAAGGCAAGTGTCCCCTGCTCCTCCAGAGGGCGCCACCTCTGGCCTCATCTCGGCTCAGGGGCTCCATTCTCCTCTTCATGACCAGGGATTCCTGCCAGGCCTGAACTGGGTGTCAGCCCAGGCTTCTTTGCATATTCTGAATCTCCTCTTCCAAAATGCAGAGACAGAAAGAAAGACAGCTGGAGAGACAGACAGACAGATCAAGATAGAATTTGGTTGGTCTAGGGCGCCAAAGTGGCTCAGTCAGTTGAGCGTTCTACTCTTGGTTTCAGCTCAGGTCTTGATCTCGGGGTTGTGGGATTGAGTCCCCTGCATAGGGCTCCAGGCTCGGCGGGGAGTCTACTTGTCCCTCTCTCTCTGCTCCCTTCCCCCCCACCCCGCGCTCATGCTCTCTCTCCCGTGCTCTCTCTCAAGTAAATGAATAAATAAAATCTTTAAAAATAATAATAATAATAATAATAATAATAATAATAATAATAATAATAATCTGGTTAGTCCAACCTGGCCTGTGGTTTCCTTCGCCTTGAGTGAAGGGTCCACCCTTTGTCCAAGGGGGTGGGATTAAGTAGGTCAAACAAGATGGGGAGCCAGATGCCGGGGATCAGGGCGGGGAAGATGAGCAAGGACTCAACACCTGCTCTCCTCATAATAATCATAACATATATATCTATTATGGTTTGTTCACCACTGAACCCCCAGTGCAGAGCAGTGCTTAGCATATATTAGTTACTCCGTAAATACTTGTAACTCCTTCTCCCAGCTCTGAGCACTTACTGTATGCCAGGCACCTCCAAGCGAAGCCCTTTGCTGACCTCACTTCATTGCATTCCCACAAGACCCCCGTCAGGCCCTGGGATGATCCCCATTTTATAGAGGGGCAAACAAACAGAGACCCAGAGGGCCCACCACCACGCAGCCGGGGAAGGCAGGAACCGAGGCCCCCGCTGGGTCCAAGTCCATGTCCCTGGCCCTCTGCCACCTGGCTTTTTCCCAGCCCCAGTGGAATCCACCCCCTCATGGGAAATGCCCTGGCTTCCCGAGGGCTGAACACAGGGAGCAGGGAAGCAAAATGATTCAGCAAAAGGAAGAGCAAAGGAAAAGGCGGAGGGGATGAGCCATAGGGTTGGGCACGTCCTCATGTCAGGTTGGGTCACCTCAGCAGCCAGGGCATTTCTATTTGAGGACAGCTTTGGCCCCAAATCCAGCCCCTGGCGGTGGGGAGGCAAGGCGGGGGGGGGGGGGGGGGATGGACTTGGCTGGGAGCTCTTCCTGTGTCCCGGGTAATTCCCACACTTCACCTGTCTCAATTGTGAGGGGATTCGGTATGTCTTTAGTGGCTGCAATGGGAGCCAAGCCTAGCAGGCATGTACAGAAAAGGGCTTAATGAAGGGTATTGCAGGCTCGCAGGACCCCAAGGAGGCTGGGAACCGGAAACAAGATGTAAACTACTTGCAGAATTCTCCTGCCTGGGCCAGCATTGCCCAAGGGTCAGCCCTGGGTCCAGAACCCCTGCCTGGGCACTGGGAAGCTGCATTCATTCAACAAACATCTATTGAGCACCTCCTGTGTGCCAGGCACTGAGGGTACGAAAGGTACAGACAGAGATCTCTGCCCTCGTGAAGTTTATCTGCTGGTGGGCATGTCCCTGCCCAGGGACCTGGGTCACATGACACTGTCCCATGGAAAAAGAAGCTAAGAAAGCCAGTCTCTGGCAGAACTCCCAAAGGGGAGGATTCACAGCTCAGGGCAGACTGAAAACACAAGAAAGGCCCAGGACACATAGGTCCCCTGTGTACCGATGAGGAAACAGAGGCTCAGAGAGGTCCCACAGCCAGTAAGCAGCCAAAACCAGGCTTGGAAGCCAGAGCGGGATCACGGTCATTGACAGCTGGTGTCTGTTCTCCTGTAAATCCAGTGGTGGGGACTTGGGGGCCTTCAGGCAACCCTGTGCGGGCTCCCCAAAGCCTTCTGGGCCCTCTGACACCCAAGGCAGTTAATTACAAGCCCGGCACCCCTTTACTGAACATGTGCAGAGTGCTTCACACACATTTCTCCTTTGTGTCCTCCCTGCCATGGCAAGATGATCCCCTTACACAGTTGGAGAAACTGAAGCACAGGGAGTTTAAGTAACTGGCCCAGGTCACTGAGCTAAGGGGCAGCAGGTGCAGGACTTGAAGTCTGGACTGCGGGCTCCAGAGCCCACACTTTTAGGACTTTATTCTGCCTCATCATTAACAACCACTAACTGGCTGGTGTCATGGGTTTATATGACCTTTAGTCAAATGGCCAAACCTTTCAGAGCCTCTGTTCCCCTAAAATATCTGTAAGATGGGGGCAATCACACCTCCCACTGTGGATCGTTGTGAGGACTGGCTGACAAATCCATGTGAAGCTGTGGAAATCAACCAAGTCCCTCCAATGAGAAAAGCAAAGGCCATTTACTCAGAGCTTGCTGGAGTAAGGGAGTCAGCCCCTGTCACTTGCATCTGGGCAGAGATTCAAAGACAGGCAGATGGATGGGAAAGCTTCATAGTGGAAAAAAGAGAAGGCTTCAGCTGTGCCCTGATTGGAGGTTGTTGGCACGGGGAAGCTGGAGGCAACTGGTTACAGTGCATATTTGGCTTTCTTAGGAGCTGGTCCTAAGTTAGATGCAGGAACAAGAATTAGGGAAGCTGTTGGTTATTAATCAAGTCCTGGCCATTTAGTGTCAATCCTTAGTTGGACTAAGAGCTCCCAGCCAAGTCCATCCAAGTCACTGTTTGTCTTCCTGGATTGTCACTGGAGATAGCAATCTGGCTTCCTGCAAGTCTGACTCAAAGCAGGTTGGTGTCGTGGGCTGTTTGTAAGACGGCTGGTCTTCTAGGCACGTTGGTCTTCGCTGCAGGTTGTGGATTGGAATTCTATTTTTATATACAGTCTGACCATTGTCCACTTTTATAATGGTCTCTCAAAGCACTTTTTCAGATGTGTTTGTATCTACTCAAAAATACACGTGGATAAATCTGACCCACAGAAGAAGACCCAGATGATTCTTTGTTGGTAGAACTGATAGATGATCCCAGTGCCCAGTAAAGCGAAAAGCCAAAAAGAAAACCTTCAGTCCTGAAAGAAGAAACAGAATGCGGGGCTCTGTTCTAGTTACTTCTTGGTGCAGAGCAAACTCAGTGGTATAGAACAGCAACCATTTTATTATGTTCATGATTTCTGGGATCAGGAATTCAGACAGGGCACAAAAGAGATGGCTTCATGATGTCTGGGGCCTCAGACAGGAAGCCTGCTTCTCCCTCTCCCACTCCCCCTGCTTGTGTTCCCCCTCTCGCTGTCTCTCCATCAAATAAATAAATAAAATCTTTAAAAATAAATAAAATAAAATGGGTTTTAGACACTTTGAACGGACAAACTTTTAGGGAAATGAATGAAATAAGCAAATATTGATCGATTTAATTACACACACACACACACACACATATATATATATACGTATATACATACGTATATATGGTGACACTCCAGTCCATTTGGAAATAATGGTCTTCACTCCAGTCATGCAGAGCCTGATATAGTTCCTTCCCATCCTTCAAGGGCTCCTGGGACACAGGCCCCTCTTTTGGAATCCACACAGAGCAATCATTAGGAGCTCAGATGGCCCAAGTGTAATCCCAGCACTGCACCTTCTGTGAGCCCTTGGACAGGTTAGCTCACCTCTCTGTGCCTCAGTTTACTCACCTTAAATGGCACAGATCCTACTTTGTTGGATAATTGAAAGAACTCTGTGTGTGTGTGTGTGTGTGTGTGTATAAACTCATTCAATCTTCACAACAACCCTACAAGGTAGATACTCTTATTGTCCCCATTTCACAAATGGGAAGAGGCACAGAGAGGTTGAGTGATCTGCTCAAGGACTTGAACCCCCAGCATTCTGACCTCAGAGTCTATGAGCTTAGCTGCCAAGAAGGGCTGGGATATAACAGGTGTTCAGCTTGATATTAAAGGCTCAAGGTCCTCATGGTGGGGGTAAGAAGTCAGGTAGGCTTCATCCCAAACCTGGCAGGTAGTGTTTCAGAACCCCATGCATCAAGACCCTATATCCCACACAAAACAGGGCCCAGAACCGAATTCTTTCCCTAAAAGGATGGAGGTGTCAATCAACTGAGGTGAGAAAAAGCAGGCAGGTGGAGTGTGGTGGGGGAGTGGGTCAGGAGGTAGGTTTTAGATGTGCTGAAGATGGTAGGAAATCTTAGGAAAGCAGAGATTTTTGAGGTGGGGTGAGCCGAGGAGTTCCAGCCAGCGATGTTGAGTTTTATGTGCAGCAGAATCAACTGGATAGTTGGATGCTCAGCTCTGAAAAGCAGGAGAAAGCTCTGGGTTGGGGAAAGGAAACTGCACATCACTGCTCTATGGACAGTCACTGATGCAGGGGTGAGGCGATTGGGGAGATCCTTCCAGGACATCTCACAGACCTCTCTTTCTCTCTCATACCCCTCAGAAAAGCTTAAGGAGCTGCCCATTACACACCTGCCCCTGAGTGCTGGGATCATGACTGCCATCATAATTGGGTTCCTTGTTGCTGGGTCCCTCTTCATCGGGTGCATTGCCCCTCTCCTGTTAACAAGAGACTGGAGGGGCCAGAGCCACAGGTACAGGGGCCCCAGGCCTCTCTCTCCTCTCTTCTTCCTCTTCTTCCCCACCCCTTGGGTCCCACTGACTGATTCTTCCATGATTCATGTCATCTGACTCATACATAATCTCATCAAATCTTGGAACTCTTGAGGTGAAAATGATCTTTCTATCCTGTATTAGACAGAATTCTGCACTGCAAGGGACAGAAACCCTACCTTTGAACGGGCTTACAAAAAATTAGAAAATTTTTTGGTCCTGCATGAGCTTCAGGTATGGCTGGATCCAGGGACTTGATTTTGTCAAGAGACTCCTCCATACACCTCTCAACTCTGCTTGTCTCTGTGGTGGCTTCATTCTCAGTCAGAACCTCCCCTTGTGTGTGATAAGATAGCTCCTAGGGGCTCCAGGCTTATATCCCACCAGCTCAGCAGCCACAGAGGGAAGACCACACCTGGCTCCTGACACCTCCAACAAAAACCCCAGGGCTGCTTCTCACTGGCTTAACTCAAATCACATGTCCTTACGTAGACCAACCACTGTGGCCAGGTGCTGGAATATCCTGATTGGCCAAACCTGGGCTATTTGCACAGCTCTGGAGTCAGAGAACAACCCAGCTCCACATGACTAAATGGATTCAGGGTGGGGAGGGTTCCCCGCCCACCCCCACCCCCCCCGGACCCAAAGCGGGGTGGGGAAACAGACACTATTGCCAAAGAAGCAGAGTGGATGGTGGGCAGGCAAAGGCATCAGATGGTGCCTACTTCTGTATGGGGGAGAGAGGCAGGGGCCTATTTTTCCCAGGAAACAGTCTATTCATGGAAAATTCCTTCCTTATGAGATCAGCCTCTTCAGAACTTTGTCTCCTGACTTTGGTTCTGAGCTGCTTGCAAATGTGTAGTTTTTCTGCTCTCTCTAACCCCGGGGAAATGAAGGCAGCACCCTTTTCTCCTCCGCCGCCTCCTTCATTTTTGCAACTTTTCTATAAGTTTGAAATATTTCCAAAGAGAAATTCCTCTTCCTATTCTCTCCCTTAGGTGCTGTGGTCTCTTGATCTCTTTCTCCCAACACGCTCCCATTTAGGGGTGGCAAACAGCTTTCACTTCCTACTATGTGCCCTAGAGAGCTTGGTGGAAAGGGAGTTGGCGGTGGTGTCTGAGTGCGGTGGGAACGGATGCTGTGATTGATTAATCATGTCTGCCACGGCTGTAACAAGGGTATTGGAATAACCTGAGCCATCCCTGTTAGCCCTCCTTCTTAGCTTGCAGGTGGTATGAAAAGAGGCAATGCTGGTCCGTAACCCTCCTGGGGGCTTCCCAGGTGTAGTCTGAAACCAGCCCCCAAACACAGAGGGCTGGAGAGGCAGGCCTCTCCAGGTTGGCATATGGCAGTTTCAGTAAGCAAAGGGGGGTGCCTGGGTGGCTCAGTTGGTTAAGCGACTGCCTTCGGCTCAGGTCATGATCCTGGAGTCCCGGGATCAAGTCCCGCATCGGGCTCCCTGCTCTGCAGGGAGTCTTCTTCTCCCTCCGACCCTCCCCCCTCTCATGTGCTCTCTCTCATTCTCTCTCTCTCAAATAAATAAATAAAATCTTTAAAAAAAAAATTAAAAAAAAATAAGCAGAGGGAACTTACATATGAGGCTTGTCTCCGGGGGCAGCAAGATGAATGGATCCCCACACCGACCCTCCAAATCCTTCTTTTTTTTTTTAAAGATTTTATTTTTTATTTATTTATTTGACAGAGAGCGACACAGCGAGAGAGGGAACATAAGCAGGGGGAGTGGGGGAGGGAGAAGCAGGCTTCCCGCCGAGCAGGGAGCCCGATGTGGGGCTCGATGTGGGGCTCGATGTGGGGCTCGATCCCAGGACCCTGGGATCATGACCTGAGCCGAAGGCAGACGCTTAACGACTGAGCCACCCAGGCGCCTGACCCTCCAAATCTTACAAGTTTATAAAGAAGCCCCAACTGGGCTCAGCCAGGCACACCATGCAGCTGTCCTCAGTCAGCATCATACACCATCTCAAGGCCACGTCCTTGGAACAGCCTCTGGGAGCGGAAAAGGCAGGAACCCACACTCCAGGGACAGGGGAGGTGGTGAGAAGCCTCCGAGTGCCCGTGTCTGGTTCACGGGTCAATCAGGGGTCACATCTTTTTCATGCCTGTCCCCAAAAACGATGGGGCGGATTTGACCCTCGGTGGGTAGTTTGCCGTGGTCTCTAGAGACAACTAAGGCTTAGAGACATGAAATCATTTGCCAAATGGCTTAGAACTGGCCTGTGAGTGGTAGCAGGTCCCTGAGATGGGAACCCACACCTGAGTGACTTGTAAGCTCCAGAACCAAAACTGGACTCCACTCGTCCGGACCTGCTGGCCGGCTTTCCTTCTGCTACTGCCAGTGATTCTCAGAGAATCTCACAGATCCTCAAAGTCCTGGCAGGGCCAGAGGCAACTTGATGTGGCATTCTGGGCCATAGTATTAAAAAATAAATAAAAATTAAAAAAAAAAACGCAAAATGAAAATATTTCAATACGTGGAAATGTTTACAAATGAAGGGCCGTGATGCATGCACCTTACCCTCAGATGGTTCAGGAAAACAAAATATGCATGGGAGAAACAGAAGGAGAGAGAGAGCAGACACTGAAGCAAATGGAATAAAAACAATTGTTTGATGTGAATAAAAATTACACAGATGTTCTTTGTGCCGTTTTTGCAACTTTTCTATACGTCTGAAATATTTCCAAAGAGAAATTCCTTTTCCTATTCTCTTTGTAGCATTCTGACTATGGCAAGAGAATATCTCATTCTGGTTCTAGTCAGCTTTTAATGCCCTTCTAACACTTGCTAGCTTTTCCCAAGAGAAAACTAACAACCCTATCGAGCCACAGATTTAACCCACTGTTTGGCCTTTCTTCATTTTCCCCATCACTTTCTACTTACGTCCGGTTTCATTACAATATGGCAGCATCTGACTGTGTCCTGCTTCCACTCCCACCCCCACGGTCTGTTCCCCATTCAGCAGCCAGAAAGATCCTGTGAAAATCAGTCAGCTTAAGTCCCTCGGAGTCGAGGCCAAAGTCCTCACCATGGACACAAGACCTAGCTTGACCTGCTGCCTCCCTCTGACCTCACCTCTAGCCCCTCTCCCCCTCACACTCTCTGTCCCAGCCATACTCCTCTCTTTGCTGTTCCTGTTCCTGCCCCAGGGCCTTTGCACATGCTGTTAGAGCTCTCTTCCCATGATTTCTGCAAAGCTGGTCTCCTTGCCTGCATCAGGCCTTTGTTCAAATGTCGCCTTCTCCGTGAGGCACCCCCACACCATCCTACTTGAAATTGCACACACACCCCCTCCACCCTCTGCCTCTTTCCATCTTCATTTTCCTATAGCATTTTTCACTCCCTGACATTCTACTGTCAGTCATTTACTGGATCTCTCTCTCTCTCTCTCTCTCTCTCCCCCTTAGAGTGCCCACTCCAGGAGGCCAGGGCTCTTTGTCTGTCTTGTTCCCAGCTGTGTCCCCAGTGCCTTCAATAGGATCCAGCCCATGGTCCATGTTCTGTAAATATGTGTTTAGTGAAATAATGAATTTGCTGCAGTGATGTCGAGTGTACTTTTTAAATAAAGGTATTCAAGGGGCACCTGGGTGGCTCAGTTGGTTAAGCGACTGCCTTCAGCTCAGGTCATGATCCCGGAGTCCCGTGATCGAGTCCCACATTGGGCTCCCTGCTCAGCGGGGAGTCTGCTTCTCCCTCTGGCCCTCCCCCCCTCATGCTCTCTCTCATTCTCTCTCTCTCAAATAAATAAATACAAATCTTTAAAAAATATATAAAAATAAAAAATAAATAAATAAATAAAGGTATTCAAAAGAGCTGATTCAAAGAGAAATATTAAGGAAATCGTGAAACAGGTGGATGGAGCAGAATCATCTAGATGGTCTGCCTAAATAGTGACATTAGGGAAACATTACTCACTGGCATACGGTGGCAGCTGGGGAAACTGAGGAAGGGCTCTGTGGCTGGAGATTATGGGAGAAGAGGCGGGGATGGGGCAGGTCTTGTCCTAGCTCACTCTGAAGCAGGGACCATCTCTCTCTCTGATGGACTGATGGGCTTTCCAGTTTCTCTGAGTCTCTCTCCACCCACCTGAGGGATTACTACCCTAATATTGGTTCTCTCCATATGTCCCCAGGTTGACACCCACAGAGAAGCCAGAGGTGCACCCCAATCACAATGCTGGTAAGCCAGAGGTCCCTGTGGCTAAAGCCCCTCCTCCAGGCTTCTTCCTCTTCTCCCCACCAGCCACACACACCCTTGCCCTCCCTCACTAGGGGTCTCCCAATCACTTGCCCCACCCAGACCTCTCTGGGGCTCCCCAGACTCAGCCCACAGACTCTGAGGACATCAGCACTCATGCCAAACCTGCTTTTCCTCCTCTTCTCAGTGCCTGGCACATCCAGTCTCGATGGTTCCACTCCCGGGTCCCCACACCCAACTCTTTGCTGGGCTCCCCGCCTCCAGGCTGGCCTCCACCCCATCCCCAGACAGAGTGCTTCTAGAACTCTCACCCTGTCACTCCTCTGCTCAGAGGCCCTCCATAGCTCCCCAGGGTCCTTAGGACAAAGTCAGCCTCTTTAACATGGCTCTCTAGACTCCCATAAACTGGTCCCCACTGTCTTTCCTGGCTTCATTTCCCACATGTAACAATCCCATCCTCAAAAACAAAACAATATAAAATAAACTATATATAATCCAGACAGACCAAATATATCACAGCTCCTCAAACATGGCAGGCTATCTCCTGCCAGCCACTCCCTCCTGCATTTGCATAGTTCTCGCTTCTCTTTCCAGTCTCAGATGTCCCCTCCTCCAGGAAGCCATCCCTGACTCCCCTCCAGGAGCCCTCTGGGCTCCCCCACTTGGCCCTACCCACTCTGGGTCATCCCTATCTGGGGATAGATCTGTCTCCCCCACTGGACTCTGAGCCCTGGGAGGTCAGGGCCAGCGCTGCCTCAGTCTTGGCTGTGTCCCCAGCACAGGGCTGGGCAAGGAGAGGGATTTGCACAAATGTTAGCTGAATAAATGACCATTGACAGCAGCTAGCATGGGCCTGTGGGCCGCGCATCAGCCAGTTCCGCCCTTGTCCTCTGCTTCAGGTGACCAGAACATCTATGAAGTGATGCCATCTCCGACCCTCCTGGTGTCTCCCCCCGGTGACATGAGGTCCATGAACACCTCCATGGTGAGTCCCACCCCCTTCCCCAAAGCCCCACCTGCTGCTTCCCCCAGGAGTTCGCTGTGGCGCTGGCACCTTGTCCCCACACTGCAGGAACGTGGCTCACCCTGGGATGCTCCCTACTTTAAAACCACCGGGAAAAGGGACTGGAAGGACACAACATAAGGAGCATTAGTCTCTGGGGCGATGGGGACTTGGGACTGGGAAGCCAGGTCTGTCCTCACAGCAAAGGTCCAAGGTAGGAGGGTGTCGGGATGCTGGGGGCCTGGCTCACCCGTGCTCTTCCCTCGCAGCCCCTGCCCCAGCAGCAGCCAGAGCCGGAGAACCACCCCTACCAGGTGTGGAGCCGGAATGAGGGAGGGGGTCTCGATGGCGGTGGGGGGGGCATCCTCACCAACCGCCCACCTGCTCTCTGAGCTGTAGCTCCCCCGGAAGCACAGCACAGTCTCTCCCCTTCTGGGGTTGTACCTTCCTCCTTCTTAGAAGGATTCCAAGGCTGCAGGTCCCAGCCCGTCTCCATCCCCTCCTGTCTGCCCCTGGATCTCTGTGTCCATGCGTCTGTCTATGTTTCTCTGCATTTCTGTACACCTCTCAGGGCATCTCCTGCTCTTGCTGTCATTCTCTGGCTCCCCATGTCCTTTTATCTTTCCCTCTCTCTCTCTATCTCTTCACCCATCTTTGTTTCTTGATGTCTCCCTCACTCTCTCTCCTTCTCCGTGCTCCTGTCCCTCCTGGCTCTCCATCCCCGTCACCCTGTGTCCACCCCTTTCTCTGGCCCTCCCAGTACCTGGTGCTTCCTGCCTCTGCACGCCTCTCTCCTTCCACCATTCTCTCTGGGTGTGTTCTCTGCCCCCCCCTCCCCCGTCCCTCAGCCTCTGCCTGGCTCCCCCGACCCCCACCCACAATCCCTCTCTTCCCCTCCCCCCCAGGACCTGCTGAACCCTGACCCTGCCCCTTACTGCCAACTCATGCCAATCCCCTGAAGAGGCCCCCGGAAGAGCGAAAGCCTCAGACCCTCCCCTGGGGGCCTGGTGCCCACAGAGAAGCCACACCAGAGACCCCACAGGACCAGGCCACCGCGGCCAGAGGCTGACAAGGTGGACTCAAATGAAGACACAGCACAGCATCAGGCACAGGCAAGAGATCATGATGGGCCCAGCGCCTCTCTGACCCTCTGAGTATATAACCCGCCCTCAGCTCTGGTCCGTCCAGCAAGCTGGCCTGGGCCTCATGCCTGGGAAAGGCAGGCTCTTGCCTTCTCCTAACCCAAAGTACCCCCCCCCACACACACACACACTGGATATTTGGGGGTGAGGAGAGTGGTCTCAGGCCTGCCTCAAGCCAGACCTCACAGGCTCCTACTCGCTGGGCTTCTACCTGTCGGCCCACAATGCCCCACCCCTGCTCCCTGCTTGTCCTTGGAACCCCTTCCCCTGGGGACAAGGCAGCCCCCCACCACACAGGCCCCAAAGGATAAGGCGCAGGGAGGTCTGGCCTCCCAGGCCCGTGGCCCCCAATGACAGTCCTGACCAGTGACCACAGCTGTGAAACCCCTTCCCTGCTTGAGAGTCAGTCTCTCAGAACCTGTGGCCAATTTCTGCCTGTTGTCCCCAACCCTGAATCATACCAAGGCCCTCAGGGCAACAGCTCCCTTTCCTACCCCCTCCCAGCACCCCCATCCCAAATGTGGGCCCAGTCTGTCGCCCTTAATTTATTCACTCATTCAGCAATAAATAAACCATGTGTTATGCACAGTTCTGGATCCTGCAGCTTTGACAGGGAACAAAAGAGACAAAAACTGTTCTCCTAGAGGAATGCTGTGGCAGAGGAGACAGTCAGCAACAAAGTAACCAACGCACGGAAGCCACATAAGGATCTGGAGGGAGAGCATTCCAGGCAGAGGAAGCAGCAAGTGCAAAGGCCCTGAGGCAGGAGTATGCCTGGGGAGTTTGAGGAGCAGCAAGAGGCCAGGGTAGTGGGAGTGGAGGAAGGAAGGGGGAAAGGGTGGGAGGTGAGGTCAGGGAGATGGGGAGCAGCAGATAGTTCAGGGCACAGAGTCCCCCCACATAAGGCACAGCAGACTGTCACTTTTGCTCTGGGAGCTGAAAATAAAGACTGTGTGGCCGGGGATGCCTGGGTGGCTCAGTCGGTTAAGTGTCTGCCTTTGGCTCAGGTCATGATCGAGCCCCACATCTGGCTCCCTGCTCAGCGGGGAGTTTGCTTCTCCCTCTGCCTGCCCCCACCCTGCTTGTGCTCTTTCTCTCTCTCTCTCTCTGACAAATAAATTAATAAAATCTTTTAAAAAAGACCATGTGGCAGGTTGAATAAAGTCGTGTATGTGCTAACGCCCTGTGAATGTTACCTTACACGGCAGAAGGGACTGAGCAGGTGTGATTGGGTGAAGGATCCTGAGATGGGGAGATTATCCCGGATGACCTCTCTGGGCCTGAAATATAATCACAAGGGTCTTTGTGAAAGGGACCCAGGGGGAGAGAAGGAGCTGTAAGAAAGGAGACAGAGATTGGAGTGATACCGGACTCTAAAGATGGAGGAAGGGCCCCAAAGCCAAGGCCACACGGAGTCAGAGTGACGTGATGGGAGAAAGACTTCACGGGCCTTTGCTGGCGTGGAAGACAGAAAGAGGCCACGAGCAGAGCCCAGAAGCTGGAAAGGACAAGAATCCAGATCCTCCCCCAGAACCTCCAGAAGGCAACCCAGCCCCGCCGACACCTTGATTTTGGCCCCGTGAGACCCATTTCGGACTTCGGACTTCCCCAATTGGAATCGAATAAATTCCTGTTATTTTAAGCCACTACACACTTGTGGGAACTTGTTACAGCTGCCACGGGAAATTAACGTAGAGGATGAGGACGAATTCGCAGGAAGGGAAGTTGCATCTCCTGCTGACTCATTACTCGAATACTCCCTGTAAGGATTTCTCCATCCCCAGACCTCTAGGGACACCCTGATCTCCTGCTTCGGAGAAGGTCAACCAGGTCAAGGCATGGGCAGGGTCGGCCCCAGCACTGGCCACTCTGGTGCAGAGTGTCTGCCTTCCTCTCCTCTTTTCCAGCAACCCCTCGTCAAACCCCAGTATCTGTTCTTTCCTTTTCCTCAGTAATAGGGTTTTGAACCAAGAGCATGGCTGCTGAGCAGAAAAACTACATTTCCCAGTTTGCCCTGCAGCTTGAGATAGCCATGTGACTAATTCCCGGCCAATGGGATGTGAGCAGAAGTGATACCTGCGCACAGTCCTCAAGTTACACCCTTAAAGGGAGAGCATTTCCCCCTTCCCAGAGGCTGAAGATGGGGTGGTGAGAGCCATCTCGGATCACATGGACAGGGGCGCACAGAGCCAGGTCAGAGGGAGCTGGGGCAGGGACAGCAACGGGGACAGAGCCACCACGCCAGGTTAGATAAGTTACCTGGGAGAGAAAGACTTCTCTCTTGTGCAAGCTACCATTACTTTGGGATTCTTTGCATCCACGTCCTTCTAAAACTTGATTCATACAACCCCCACCTTCATGACGACAGTATTGGGGCGCCTGGGTGTCTGTCGTTAAGAGTCTGCCTTCAGCTCAGGTCATGATCCCAGGGTCCTGGGATCGAGCCCCGCATCGGGCTCCCTGCTCCGCTGGCAGCCTGCTTCTCCCTCTCCCTCTGCCTGCTACCCCTGCTCGTGCTCTCTCTCTCTCTCTCTCTCTCTCATACTCTCTCTCTCATATTTTCTCAAATAAATAAAATCTTAAAAAAAAAAAAAAAAGAATAGGCAAGACCGATATGCACGAACAGCCCAATCAATACGCCATCATGACTCACACCAGAGCCCACATTCTCAACCACTATGTCTCCCTGAGAAAACTTCCCAGGAAGACCTGCTCTCCTCCACCTCTTCATTCAATGACTCATTCATTCATTCAGCAGGTGCTGGACCAGGGTGGCGGGCATGGCTGGGGGACGAAATACACAGAGCCAAAAGATATTTAGAACAAAACATTGACAGAATTTGGTCCTGGGTGAGATGTCCGGGGATGAGGCAGCAGGATGTCACAAACGTGTTGGTTCATCAGCTCAACAAACATTTATTGATCACCTGCTGTGTGCAGTTGTTATCACCAAGGACACAACAGAGATCCCTGCCCTCAGAGAACTGACAACCAATGGCATCAAACATAATTTCCAGGGGAGTGATGTTACGAAGGAGAATGAGCAGGTGCCCAGAAAGCTGGGGGTGGGGCTGGAGTGCGGGAGCCCTGCCCCGTGTCTGACTTGCTGATGGAAAGCAGGGGCAGTGGTGGCATTCACAGTGCAAGAGGGTCAGGTTTGCAAGGAGGGAAAACACGTCCACGTGAAAACTTGTACACAAATGTTCACAGCACTGCTCATAATAGCCAAAAAGTGAAAACAACCCAAACGTCTGTCAGCGGGTGAATGGAGAAACAAAACATGGTGTATCCAGATAGTGGGATATAGTGCGGCCATAAATAAGGACCGAAGTACTGGACCATGCAACAACGTGAATGAACCTTGAGAACATGATGGTGAGTGAAAGCAGCCAGACACAAAAAGTTACATATTGTCTGATTTCATTGATGGGAAATGTCCAGAACAGACAAATCCATAGAGACAGGAAGCTCAGACAGCTGAGTGGTTGCCAGGAGCTGGAGGGACAGAGGGATGGAGAGTGCCTAATAAGGGGTACAGGGTTTCTTTTGGGGGGGATGGAAATGTTCTAAAATTGATCATGCAGATGGTTGCACAACCCTATGAACATATTAAAAAACACTGAATTGTACACTTTAAATGGGTGAATTGTCTGGTATGTGAATTATATCTCAATAAAACCAAGAAAGAGAAGCGAGGGAGAGAGGGAGGGAGGGAGGAAAGAGGGTAGGTTTGGGAAGTCGGTTTTGAATTCATTTCGGTGTGTTGGGAGAAGGCAGCTGGAGACCCGGGGGGCGGCGAGGGGGGGACAGTGAACATAGGTGCATCCTGAAGCATGGCCGCCCCAGAAATGTCATCTTTTATCACTGGTTGGGATTTAAGTTGGTTGGATCCGTCCTTTCTGCCAGACTTGCAGGCAGGGCCAGTGTCAACGCAGAGCCAGCAGGGGGCAGCAGAGGACCACGCAGACCCACGGACCAGCTCACTGGCTGCTTGGAGGACCTCCCCACCCCACCTCGGGGCACCTGTCCCCAGCCTCTGGCCCTTTGTTTACCCTTCTGAGAGCCCAGAGAATGCACCCAGTTGCCCAGACCCAAAACCTGGGCTCCTCCTTCCCTCAGGGAGGGGTAAACACCAGAACCTACCTCCTAGGCCTCCTGAGCTTGGGATCTCTACAGCCCAGCCCTGGGCCAGGTTGTGTCTCCCCATCACCTTTCCAGCCTCCTACCTGGTCTCCTGCCCCCTCCTATCCTCCCACCACAAGACAGCCCAAGGGAGCTTTCTAAATCCCAAACTCAGTTCTGCCCCTCCCTGCTCGGAACCATCCATGGCTCCCCAGTGCCCTTAAAGTCCAGGCTTCTCACGATAGCCTGCAGATCCCAGGAAGTTCTGGCTCCTGGAGTCCCCTCAGCCTCCCTCTCAACACCCTTGACCTTCACCCCCACCCTGTGGTCTGGGGTCTATCATCCACCACACTGAACTGCTTCCAGGCCCTCCACATTCTGCTCCCTCTGCTGGGAGCGTGGCCACAGGCACGGTGCTCCACCCTGCCGGCCCCACCCCCATTCATCCTACCGGTCTCAACTCAGACACCTCTTCCTCCAGGAAGCCCTCCCTGACTGTCAAGCTGGGTCAGGTCCTTCTCCTGAGTTCCTCTACCTCAGCCCTGCCCACTCTGGGTGGTCACTGTCTAGAGATTTGTCTTGCCACTGGACTATAAGCCCCGGAAGGGCAGAGCCAACCAAGGCTGCCTGGGTCAGGGATGGGTCCCAGCGCCACCCAGCATGGCAGGCACAGGGCAAGGGCTCGGGAAACTTACGCAGGATAAGTGAATGTGTGCGCATTCTCAGTATCTATATATCCTTCCCTTCCTGTACCTGGCAGTCCCCACTCATCCATCGACAGACGTTCTCTGAGCCCCTGCTGGACACCCAGCTCTGTTGAATGAGCCCCACCCGGGCTCCAGAGACATAAGAGCAAGCGGACGAGCCCCTCCTCTCGGGAAGCTGGCCGTCTCGGGGGAGGCAACGGAACCTGCCAGGCACTGTGCTGAGTGCTTCACGTTTGTCAACTTATTTGAGCCTCACCGCGATTTTGTGAGGGAAGTGCTAGGACCAGTCCCATTTCCCAGATAAGAAAACTGAGGCATAGAAGATTCAGGTCATGCGGCGTAGAAAATGGACACACTGGGAATAGAGCAAAATCTAACACCCGACTTTCTCCTCTACTCATCCCAGTCCGTAAAGAAGGACCAAACGTAACCCACGGCCACCACTATGGGGTCCGCGTGTCCAAGCAGAGGGGTCTGCCTTCCACATGAGGGCCCATGGAGAAGGCACTGCTCACCCCAAACAGAGAGGCATCACCAAGGGGGGGAACTTGAGGCACTGGGTGAAGTGTTGGGCCCGATTTGGAAGACACCAGTGTCCTCGGCTGGGACTAGGAGCCCCCCCTAGTCCTTCACTCTCTCCACCCAAGCTCTGCCCCCCAAGGCTCAGTGCAGACCCCCACTCCCTTCCTCTGAGCCCTGGGCACCACTAGATTCTCAGGGCTGTGGCTCCTCGTTATACAAATGAGGAAGTGGCTGTCTGGGGAAGGAAATGGGCTGGCCCATGTCCAAGACTGATTATGATTCATGGGGAAAACCCTTCCCTCCCGAACTCAACCCCTTTGTAGGCAGAGGGCATTGCCCTCTGAAAGCGTCTGTCTGGCAGGGCCAGGCGGGTGGAGGTGGACCTTCCGCAGGGGTGTAGCCCCCGAAGGCCATGCAGCAGGCCTCTCCCTGTACCTGGAGCCCATGGGTTTAGACCAGGGGATCTTTATCTGCTAAATGCACTGGGGTTGCGTGGAAAATTTAGCTTGAAGATAGCGTCCCACTGCGGGAGTCAGCATTTCAAAATATCGAACCCTTTCTGGATTCTGGCAGGAGGAAACTTTCGGGGTGGTGAAGGTGTTCTCAAATGAGATCTGGTGATGGCTACCCAAGGTGAACTTTATGCTCTGAAAATCACGCCCCAGGGGGGAGTGCCCGGCTGGCTCAGTCGGTGGAGCGGGCGACTCTTGATCTCCGGGTCATGAGTTCGAGCCCCACGTGGGGCGTAGAGATGACTTAAAAAAGAAATCCTGAAAAAGACGACAAAAAGAAAGAAATTCATGCTCCCAGTGAAGCTAAGAAAGAGATGATATTTATGAGACTGGAAATCTGAATACTGACTAGGTATTTGAAGATTTTTTTTAAGATTTTATTTATTTATTTGACAGAGTGAGAGCGAGAGAGAGAACACAAGCAGGGGGAGTGGGAGGGAGAAGCAGGCTTCCCACAGAGCAGGGAGCCCGACTCGGGGCTCGATCCCAGGACCCTGGGATCATGACCTGAGCCGAAGGCAGACGCTTGAAGACTGAGCCACCCAGGCACCCCTAGATATTTGAAGATATTAAGGAAGTGTTTTTTGTTCATCTTATTTTCACATGTTAGGTGAAAATATGACATTGTGGGGTTTTTTTGTTGTTTTTCTTTTTAATGAGTCCCTATGTTTTAGGGATACAGGCTGAGGTATCTATGAATAGGATGATAAGAGGCCTGGAAGTTGCCTTCAAATACTGTAGGTCAGACATGGGTGGGGGAAGGGAAGCAAGATTGGAGGGAGCTGGGGGATGGGCAGAGAGGCATTGCTCTCCCCTCTACTTTTGATGAGTGTGTGGAATTTGGAAATTTTCCAGAATAAAAAGTTATTAAATTGTTTTTACCTAACTCTAAATCCAAATCCACCCCTTCCCATATTCCTGATGAATAAAATGAGGCTGAGAGAGAGAAAGGACATGTAGCCAGGTGCCCCCCCCCAGGTCCTTCTGACCCTTGTCCCCCCCCCCGCCCCCCGCGTGCCCCGGGGAAAGCTGGCACTCTCTCTCCGCTCCCCTCCACCTCCCTAACTCCGGAAAAGTCCAGCTTCTCACACTTACCAATCCAGCCCCCTGCAGCCCCTCATTCCAGACCTAGATCCTTCTCTTCTGTCACTCATTGGCCTTACCATCACCCCACTCACCTCTAGCGGGCCATCTTGCATCTTGCATCTTGCATCCGTCCTACTCCCTAGGTCCCCTGCTCTCCCTGTAAGTACCTTATCCCATGGCCCCCTCCCTCACTCAGCTCCAGCCACACCAGCCGCCTTGCTCTCCTCACACTCACCAGAGACCTTCCTGCCTCAGGGCCTTTGCACTCGCTGTGACTGCTGCCCCAAACACCCTTCCCCCAGATGTTCGCAGACCCTGTGTCACCTCCTTCGGGTCTCAGCTCACATGTCACTTCTTCAGAAAAGCCCTCCCTGACCTCCCTAGCTAAAAGAGCAACAATCCCCGTCACTCCTATCCTCTGGCCCTACTTTATTTCTTTATAGCAGTTATCTCTCCTTGACATGATATGCTGTATCAGTTTTTTTGATTAATGTTCCTCTCCCTCCAATAGGATTACGCCCCACAAGGAAAGGGATGTTGCCTGTATCCCCAGCACAGCCCGGCAGATAGTTGGCACTCAATAAATATTTGTCGAATGATTGTAGGACTTGGAAACCCCCCCTCTTCCCCCGTGAACGAGGTGAGAGGAAGGGGGGGATAGGATTCCAGGCAGAGGGAAGAGCCTATGCTA